CTGCCGACCTGACTGCTGTCCAGAAGGCCATCATTGACACCCTCAAGCAAGAGGGTAAGACACAGAAAGAAATTGCTGAACGAATAGGCTGTTCCCAGAGTGCTGTATCAAGGCACCTCAGTGGGAAGTCTGTGGGAGGGAAAAGTGTGGCAGAAAACGCTGCACAACGAGAAGAGGTGACCGGACCCTGAGGAGGATTGTGGAGAAGGGCCAATTCCAGACCTTGGGGGACCTGCGGAAGCAGTGGACTGAGTCTGGAGTAGAAACATCCAGAGCCACCGTGCACAGGGGCGTGTGCAGGAAATGGGCTACAGGTGCCGCATTCCCCAGGTCAAGCCACTTTTGAACCAGAAATAGCGGCAGAAGCGCCTGACCTGGGCTACAGAGAAGCAGCACTGGACTGTTGCTCAGTGGTCCAAAGTACTTTTTTCAGATGAAAGCAAATTTTGCATGTCATTCGGAAATCAAGGTGCCAGAGTCTGGAGGAAGACTGGGGAGAAGGAAATGCCAAAATGCCAGAAGTCCAGTGTGAAGCACCCACAGTCAGTGATGGTCTGGGGTGCCATGTCAGCTGCTGGTGTTGGTCCACTGTGTTTTTATCAAGGGGAGGGTCAATGCAGCTAGCTATCAGGAGATTTTGGAGCACTTCATGCTTCCATCTGCTGAAAAGCTTTATGGAGATGAAGATTTCATTTTTCAGCACGACTTGGCACCTGCTCACAGTGCCAAAACCACTGGTAAATGGTTTACTGACCATGGTATTACTGTGCTCAATTGGCCTGCCAACTCTCCTGACCTGAACCCCATAGAGAACCTGTGGGATATTGTGAAGCGAAAGTTGCGAGACGCAAGACCCAACACTCTGGATGAGCTTAAGGCCGCTATCGAAGCATCCTGGGCCTCCATAACACCTCAGCAGTGTCACAGGCTGATTGCCTCCATGCCACACCACATTGAAGCAGTCATTCATGCAAAAGGATTCCCGACCAAGTATTGAATGCATAACCGAACATGATTATTGAAGGTTGGCGTTTTTTGTATTAAAAACACTTGTCTTTCATTGGTGGGATGAAATATGCTAATTTTTTGGGACAGGCATTTTGGGTTTTCATGAGCTGTATGCCATAATCATCAGTATTAAAACAATTAAAGACCTGAAATATTTCAGTTGGTGTGCAATGAATCTGAAATATATGAAAGTTTCATTTTTATCATTACATTATGGAAAATAATTACCTTTATCACAATATGCTAATTTTTTTAGAAGGACCTGTATAATCAGCAGCACAGACAAGTCACATATCACCAATGAAAGTGGCATTACAGTGATATCTTTTTTTTTTTCACAGTGATTATTCTGGTTAGAGATTCATGAGTATAACAGCTTCAGGGTAGAAGCTGTTCCTCAGTCTAGTGGTTCTACACTTAATGCTCTTTAACCTTCTGCCTGAGGGCAGCGGGGAAAAAAATGTGTGTGCTGGATGTGGGGGGTCCTTCATGATGTGGGTGGTCCTCTTTCTGCATCTGGAGGTGTAGATGTCTGTGATGGTGGGGAGGCTGACTCCAACATCTTCTGTGCAGCCTTCATGCCACATATTGATGCAGGAGCACAGGATGCTCTCCACTGCACACCTGTAGAAGGGGGTGAGGTGGAGAGCATCCTATAAGCTGCTTATCATAATTTTATTAAAAAAAAAAAAAAAGGTTATCAGCCGTAATATCTGTGCGCAGTGCATCTGGAAAGTATACAATGTTTCACTTTTTCCACATTTTGTTACAGTAGCCTTATTCAAATATGTATTAAATTAATCTTGTTCCTCAAATAGTTTACACAAAGTATCCCATTATGACAATGTGAAACAAGATTTTTTTGAGATTTTTGCGAAATTATTAAAAATGGAAAACTAAGAAACCACATTTATGCATTTTCAGTCTTTGCCATGAAGCTCAAAATTAAGCTTGGATACTGTTTCCTCTGATCATCCTTGAGATGTTTCTATGACTTAAATGGAGTCCACCTGTGGTAAATTCAGTTGATTGGACTTGATTTGGAAAGACACACTGGTCTGTAGAAGGTCCCACAGTGGACAGTGCATGTCAGAGCATAAACACCAAGCATGAAGCCAAGAGAACTGCCTGTAGACCTTTGAGAGAGGATTGTGTTGAGACACAAATCTGGGGAAAGATACAGAAACAGTTCTGCTGCTTTGAAGGTCCCACTGAGCTCAGTGACCTTCATCATTCATAAATGGAAGAAGTTTGGAACCACCAGGACTCTTCCTTGACCTGGCAGACCGTCTATGCTGAACGATTGGGGGTGAAGGGTCTTAGTCAGGGAGGTGATTCAAGAACCCGATGGTCACTCTGTCAGAGCTAGAGCTGTCCTATGTGGAGAGAGGAGAACCTTTCAGAAGGACAACCATCTCCGCAGCAATCCACCAATCAGGCCTCTAGTGGCCAGACAAAAACGACTCCTTCATAAAAGGCACACGACAGCCCATCTGGAGTTTGACACCTGAAGGACTCTCAGACCAGGAGAAAAAAAATTTTTTGGTCTGATGAGACAAAGATTGAACTCTTTGGTGTGAATGCCAGGCGCCATGTTTGGAGGAAACGGCTCATCACCAAAACAATACCATCCTTACAGTGAAGCATGGTGGTGGCAACATCATGCTATGGGATGTTTTCATTAGAAGGAGCTCACAGACTAGTCAGGATAGAGGGAAAGATGAATGCAGTGATGTAAGCCACCAGTATACTCCCGCGTACATCCGTTCTCGCGTACATAAGCGTGTACTGTACGTAGAGGGTTCAGACTTCGTACTCCAGCGTACACCCCGAGCAGCTGCAGAGCAGCTTCACAGACAAAGGACGTTTACCTTTGGGACAAATTGAGGTCGCTGATTGGTCATTTACTGACACGCCTACTGGATTGATTGACAGGTCGGTATAAAGAAAAAAGTGAACGCTGGCAGCCTCAGCCGCAGTGGTGTTCTGTGTTTATATGTTGTTAATAAAAAGATCTAAAAAAAAAAAAAAAAAAACAGGGAGCGCTGGTCCTGCAGCCCACACATCAGACCATCCCACCAGGAAATCTCCAGACCCTCCTGCAGCCACGCTGGACCTGAGTTTAATTCGCTCGTGACAAATTCCTTAATTTCTCACCATTTCAGTCATGGCATCAACGGAGGAGGAAGAGATCACTGCCTCTTGGCAAAAAAACAAAAGAAAAGGCCAGATCAGGGATGAAGAAGGGGAATTTAATACATTGGTGTCACATACAAAACAGTCCGTCGCTGGGCAGTTTATTGTGCGACACCGCATACGCGTATGCGGTCGTAAAAATTTGAGCTTTGCACGGACATGCCCTGGGGGGTACGCTCGTACCTCCGCATATGTACGTGCGTACCTCTGTGTATGGACGTACGCGGGAGTAAACTGCTGGCTGTACAGAGACATCCTGGATGAAAACCTGCTCCTTTGAGCTCTTGAACTCAGACTGGGGACATGTTCATTTTTCAGCAGGACAACGACCCAAAGCCCATGGCCAAGATCTCAGAGGAGGAGCTTCATGACCACTCTGAAGGTCCTGGAGGGGCTTCAGGGCCACTCTGTGAAGGTCCCGGAGAGGCTTCAGGACCTCTCTGTGAAGGTCCTGGAGGGGCTTCAGGGCCACTCTGTGAAGGTCCTGGAGAGGCTTCAGGACCTCTCTGTGAAGGTCCTGGAGAGGCTTCAGGACCTCTCTGTGAAGGTCCTGGAGGGGCTTCAGGGCCACTCTGTGAAGGTCCTGGAGAGGCTTCAGGGCCACTCTGTGAAGGTCCTGGAGTGGCCAAGCCAGAGTCCAGACTTGAATCTGATTGAACATCTCTGGAGATATCTGAAAATGGCTCTGCAAACATCTTCCATCCAACCTGATGGATCTTGAGAAGTAGTGCAAAGCAGAGTGGGACAAACAGTCTAAAGACAGGAGTGCTAAATTTGTGACATCATATTCAAGAAGATTTGAGGCTGTAACTGCTGCTGAAGGTGCATCAACAGAGTCCAGCAAAAGCTGTGAATACTTACATAAATATGAATTCTTAGTTTTCTATTTTTAATAAATTTACAAAAATCTCAAACCTTTTTTCACATTGTCATAATGGGTTATTGTTTGTAGAATTTTGAGGAAAGAGATTAATTTAATATAATTTGAAATAAGGCTGTAACAACAAAATATGGAAAAAGTGAAGCGCTGTGAATATTGTCTGGATGCACTGTATATGGAAACAAATGCGTACGGTGTAAATGTTTTCTCTCTTCCATGGTGTGTAAACTATGAGAGACTATCATTGTTGACAGTGTTTGGTAAACAGAAATGTTGCCTGTATGCCATTGTGCCCTCATGTATCAAACCTTACTGTGTTCATTACAGATAAACATCCAAACAAAGGAGTCTGTAGACTTAAATAGACCTTCTTGAGAGATAAAAAAAAATTATAGTAGTCATTTTCTGTGGATTCTTCCTGCGTTGGTTAATTTCAGTGGAAATTTTAGTTTAAAATTCTTGGATTTTGAAGTTCAGTTTACAGCACTATGTTTGCATACAGTCACCAATACGTACACAAACACGTTCAAGTCAGTGTTTTTTTAAATGTGGGCAAGACCAAAATGTGGTGGGGTTTATGAATTGACACTTGAGAGTTGACTTTACTTTTACTGCATTGATGTGCTTTTTATGTTAGACTGAATTATCTTATCGCAACAGTTACTAGTTGTTAACTTATAAACAATGTCTTAAGTTTTTGCAATGTTTGCAGCATTTTCACATTTAAAAACAAATGTGGAACGGAGAGCTTAAAACAGAAAGTCTAATGGTGTTTTTAAGTTGTCTTTTGTATCCACATGCCTTTAACAAACAGGATATACTTTAATGATTTATGGTCAAGTTTGTTTTTGTCAACTTGTTTTATAATTGCTCTCCCTAATGTTTCCTTTTTTCCCTGCTTCCGTATCATTATTAGTGGGCAACAGTGACCTTCCATCTTCCTCATCATGTGCTGAAACTTGTGGCCAGTGCCATCGTCAATGAGTTGAAGAAAATCAATCAGAACGTTGCTGCCTTGTCTGTGGCCTCCTCCATCATGGACCGGCTCTCCTACCTCCTGTCCAGCGCCAGGCCTGAGCTCGGGGTGGGCCCCGGGCGCTCTGTAGATCGGTAAGAGCTACCACTTTGTCACAATGTGAAATTTCTATTATTGCAGCGCAAAACGAACACTCAGAATTGAATAAGGATTTAACTTGTGTGCAGTCAGATAACTTCTTAAAAACTTGTATTAAATATTTTTCAACCCCCAAGATATTTTATTTGCCACAGAGAGATGTTTATAGGAATTTCTTTTTTTTTGTCTGTGTGTGGTTTTACACATCAGTGTTTCATCTAAATAACTTGCCATGGTGGGACGCTCATCTCATCTGTGATTTTTGTCGACCGGGGTGGGGAAGGAGACAGACAGATGCGCATCTGTACTGTGCGCTGTTTGTACCGACAGTTTTTGAGCTGGGGGGGTGGGAAGTGGTTCAGCATGAGAGAAGAGGCCTTTAGATGTTTAGCTTGCGCGCTTGTATTGTATGCCACTAGCTTAGTGCTATGTCAGTGCAGGTTTGGTGTGGTGGGCGGAGCGGGGCGCCCCACTTGTATATTGGTAGGGGAACCCTGCATCACATTCAAAATTATAAACTGTGGTTCTGGAGGGGTGCATTTGTGTGGTAAGTGTGGCACATAGCTAACACCTGTTTTTGTGACTTTACAATAGTGACTTTAAAAATATCCTGATGTCTTAATATTTTTTGCAATTTTATTGAAAGCCTGCTTGAAGCTCTCTCAAGCTGTGAGGCCCAAAATAAATAAAAAATGGCTTCAGTTATAAACATTGTGTCTGGAAGGAACCAGGTAGCACTCATGGAGCACACATGGGACCAGTGACACATGGTGCCAGTGGCATCAGGGGATGTAACAATTTAATGATAAAATTATCTTTGGCAATTTTTAAGAAATGGTTTTCAGGTATTTCATATAACCTCTTCTGTGTTAACCCAAACCAGTGCCAATTGCTTTTGTTTCCTAATTAAGCCATTTGTTTAAAATTACTCTCTTAGCAATAAGAAACACCCTTTGGCTCGCTACTTAGTTTTGATTTCCCTCTCCTTATACAATAAACATTGAATGTGCCTGAGAGTTTTCTGTTTGGGTGGAGGTTGGTGCCGTCTGCTGTGTGTTATTAGGAAACTAAACTCTCAGTAAATTAGATGTAAACGGATAAAACATTTTCTGAGACCGCTTTTATTTAATTGTCACCGTATAGTCATTTAAAATGCCTTTTGAGGGCATTTGTACGACACTACAAGTATGTTTGGTACATTTCCAACACCTTGTTGAAAATTACGTTTATAAAAAGATTGCATGCACAGTCCAGCGTCACTATCCAGAGCAGTGTGCAGAATGCTGTTTGTTGCTCTCTACAGATCACTGATGTACAGCGAGGCCAACAGGCGGGAGACGTTTACATCATGGCCACACGCTGGATACAGATGGGCTCAGCCTGATCCCATGGCTCAAGCAGGGTTTTACCACCAGGTCTGATCTGAGAAGTTCAACCACATTAACAACTCTGTGCTTTGTTGACAGCCTGCAACTTTGAACATGAGTAATGCTTAATGGTAGCATTTATCACATTAAATTAGCCATTTTTCACCCTTACTTATTATTATTTTTATTATTATAATTATTTTTTTTACAAACAATTCAGTGTAGGGAAAACTGCTGTTTAAATGTTGAGATGCTCTGCTAACTTCCACTTTCTCTCTTCAGCCTGCCTCAACAGGGGATGACAGAGCCATGTGTTTCACCTGCAGTGTGTGTCTGGTCTGTTGGGAACCTACAGATGAGCCCTGGTGGGTGCAAAATATTATTTATGCAGTTTATGTTAGCCTTAACCTGGTAATGGACATTGTCACAATAACACCTCTCCATAAATTTTCCAGGTCTGAACATGAGCGTCATTCTCCCAACTGTCCGTTTGTAAAGGGAGAGCATACGCAGAACGTCCCGCTGTCAGTGACACTCGCAACAAGCCCCGCCCAGTTTCCCAACAGCCCCGACAGTTCAGACAAAATTGCCTGTTACGGTTTCGGCAGCTGCCCACAGTTTCTGGCTGCAGCCACAAAGAGGGGCAAGATCTGTATCTGGGATGTTTCCAAAATGATGAAGGTCAGAGGAGGAGGTCATCAAACATGAGACTAATCTGTCCTGTCTGGTTTGCAGTGATGTAATGGTAATAAAAAGAGTTTAATCCTGATGTTCTTTAAAAAAACCTTCTTTTAAAATTGTGTGCTGAACAGGTGCACTTGAAGTTTGACATCAACCCGTATGACCCGGCCATCCTCAGGCAGCTGGTCCTGTGCAGTGGGGAGCAGGGCCAGCAAGTTCTGACCGAGTCTCGGAGACCAACTCTGACCTGGTTGGAGGAGTCGTCGTCTTGCTCTGACCTGCCCAAGTTAGAGGGAGACAGGTAAAACCTGCACAGATTATATGTTTAAAAATAAAGAAACATGGGAAGTATTCTAAATATTCATCTTATTTTAACTAAAAATTAATAAAATTACAGATTTTCATCTAAATTTGCTGTTTGGAAATCTGTTGCAGTAATGCAGCAAACTATAAAATGTCACAAATCAATTTATCGAGGTGCAGGTTTCCCCCATCCACACTGGACGACAACTCTATTGTGATATAAAAAAATGAGCCAGAGCGTGGATGTCTTTGCAGAATTTTGGCGAGGTCTTCATGGACTACCGTATTTTTCAGCCTAGAAGTCGCAGTTTTTTGCATAATTTTATGCCCCGCGACTTAAACACTGAAGCGACTTATTTATGGATATTTCCGCTTTATTAGACATATTTGGACTGATGCGACTTATAGGGCGGTGTGACGTGTACGGCGGAAAATACGGTATTAAGAATGCAAGAGGCTTCCTATTATGGGCGCTAGTTGTGAAGGGTTTTAAACAAGCACCATGTGCGGTTGTGGTAGTTTATAGTAGCAGTGTCATCTTATTCAAGGTGTGGAGCTCATGCACACCAGAATACTTAGCTTGGTTGTTGAGGACTGTTCACGCTGTCCTCATGGCTAGGCTCACAGCTCTGTCAAGCCCACACTGTGCTCACAGGGCTCCCAAAATGTTGATGCAACAATCTTGGCACATGACAACTTGAACAGAGAGCAGTGGAATCCAATATTCTGCTATAAAAATTAAGAAAACATGTTTAAGTGAAGCGTTTCCATAACATGCCAGAATCTTAGTTAAAGCCTGTTCACTGCTTGATGAAGTAGCTGAGAGCTGCAGCTGAACTTGAGAAGAAAATTAGGCATCAACAAAACAGTAGGGGCTTCAATGGAACTTCAACTTTATAAGTGAGTTAATGAGAATACAAGTGCCATCATTTTTTGTAATAATTATAAAATTTGAAGTAAATTTGATATTCACATGTGAAGCTATTTTACAAAAGTAAGGAGTGTTCTCTCATGTGAAATAAACGTGTAGAATTTTATATTTCTAAAAGGACCAGGGATTTTATTTTCACCTATGAGGACTGTTTTAAATCACTGAATGTTCTGTTGAACTGCAACATTTTGCTGTCTTTTATTGAAATGTGTTCATGTTTATGACCATTTGGATATTTCCTCTTTTTGTTTATTATTTTATACAATAGCCTACAATTTAATAAAGGAGGATTTTACATTCAAGGCTATTCAGTCCTTTAGGTGCAATAAATGCAACATTTTTAAACTCTGCAAATAATAATTGTGATTACAAAATTAACAAAAATAATTTATTATTATTTTTTTTCTATAATTGAGCATCCCTATGTCCTACACCAAGTGTTTATATAACTGACGGGCTTTGTGATGTTACCACAAGATGTCTAATAACTTGCAGTTGTCAAAATACAAATAAGATCATTGTGATGATGTGTCAGCCATTTAAAATATTATATTTCAAATGTCTGACACATTGTCTGAAAGTTGTAAAGTTGCTGAAATGAGGTCAAAATTCTGACCTACAGATGTTCTGGCTTTTCAGTTTAGCAGAAAATAGTTTTTCTTTCTTTATTTTTTACTTTGATTAAACTATGAGGGACACAAATGCAGCCTGAAACACAATTGGGGATGTCTGCATAAATAAAAATATCACTACGAGTACAAATGATCAAATGTGCAGGAAACAGATGTTTTACATCTGCACAAAATAATATTTTATTTTTAAGATTTATTATTTCCCACATAATCTGGTATGGTAAATTTCTTAATGTTGTTGTCGACTGAGGAGTAATGAACATGGGGATCAGTCGTGCACGATGCAACCAGAAGTCTGTGATCATGAGTTTTATTGGTGTTTTCAATCACATCTGGTCTTTTCAGTGATGACCAGTTGGAGGACTCGGACAGTGAAGATCATTCCCGGTCTGAGTCAGTAACGGGTAAGTAATCTGCTAACGTCCTTTGAATTAAAATTCAGATGAGTGACAGAAGACCAGACAGTTTATCAAAATAACAAAACAAACCCTAATATTTTCATACAAGATAAAAGATGAGACATCATTTGCATCAGTAGAGTCCATGTTGCATTCTAAATTATACTTGTAGATCTGCCAGTATGGCTTCCTCTTCTCCCCATTTGTCTGTGCCCAACTTCTCACACTGCCAGCCGTCACCGCCTCTCCCCTTCACTGAACTCACCCCACCACTTCATCTGGAAACTTGCAGGCAGCGACAGATGGAGACAAATGGGTCCTCCTGCCTTGAAACAAAAAACTTACAAAACTCTTAGACCCATAATCCAGAGGACCTGACTTAACTTTGTTAGATTTTTCTACCAGGATTACTTTATGCATCAGGATATCTCAGACCCATGCCTTTCCTAATGAGAGAAAACGTGAGAAGTGGCAAGACATTACTAAAGTGGTAGCCCATCGTGTTGCTGTCATATCAGCTCGACAGGACTTCTTGTTTTTAGTGACAGCAGTGCTAATTTCATCAAGGCGGTGTAACAATAAGTCGGTTCGGTTTTGCTCAAACTTTTGTCTCGTCTTTGGTGAGTGCAATATTTGATCAAGTCAGTATTCCCTTACCATTATACAAGCAGGGTGCCCCGCCCCGTCAACGGAACTGAGCACCCCGCCTACCGAACAGAACTGCGCGCACCCCCACCACCTGTCAGTACAGACGTAGCACTAAGCTAGCTGCGTGCAATACAGGCATGCTAGCTAAAAAGTTAAAGGCAGCGTGACACGCTGAAACACCCTCCCCCGTTTCGAAAACTGTTTGTACAAACAGCACTCGCAGCTCAGCTGTGTCTGTCTCTTCTTTCCCACCCCCACCCCCCAGAACTGCCAGTACAAACACACGCAGCTCAGATGTGTCCCCCCCCCCCCTCAACACAACAATCACGGATGAGATGAGTCAGAGTCAGTTTCTTTATTGTCATTCGCACCTCATGTGGTACATGTGGTGGAGCGAAATTATGTACACAGGGTCCCAGTTACATCCAACAATAAAATTTATAAGAAAAACAGTAATAACATCTAAGATATGAACTAAGAAAAACATCAACTAAATATACACTAAGCACTCATAACATAAAAACATTGAACATCAGCACAAACATGCACACAAACATGAGCGCCCCACTATGGCAAGTTATCTAGGGGAAACACTGCAAGTCATTTGATGTTTAGCCTTTTGTTATGTTTGCGAGGTATTTCTTCTGTTTACAGAAGTGTTGCATAATTCTGATTGCAACTTTACATATTTATATGTATAAGCAAAAGACATAAAAATGTAACTGGTCCAACATTATAATGTTGACTAGAGAACCCTCACATCTGGTATTGGTTTGATTTCAGGCCACCCATCCCAGTGGGAGAGCATGGACCTGAGCCTCGGGGTGACGGCGTTAAGTGTACTCCATCAGCCAGAGAAGCTTCAGTGGGAGGTGGTGGCCAGTGTACTGGAGGACACAGTGAAGGACTTGGAGGAGCTGGGAGCAAACCCCTCATTAAACCAAACCAAGGCCCACAGCCAGGCAAAAACTAAAGACAAGGTGCCCGAGCACCACAACATTCCCTTTCCCTGCCTGTTGGCTGGAGGCCTGCTCAGTTACTGCTCAGCATCCAGCACCCCCATGCCTGTGCCCCCCACCGCAACTCCATCTTCAACACGTAGGACCACAGGGGGTCCACATAGGACTCAGGGCCCTGAGACTTTCCCTGGCCCTTTACAGGAACAAGGTCCCATGGAGATAGATCCTTGTAACCCCCAGACTGCAGCCCAGGAGCAGAGTTTTTCTAATCTTTCAGGTTCTCAGCTTACGAGTCCCTCCTCTCTGCCAGTTGTACGAAGAACTATACCGATGCTGCTCCTGTACAGCATCAGAGAGGTGGACGACAAGTCCTCAGGACAGGTCTTTGCTCACATGAACAACCTGATGAGCAAGGGGCTCCATGAGGAGGGCTTCACTGTGCCACAAATCATTGAGATGGAGTTTGATACTCATGAGCAGCTGCTTCTTCAGGATCCTCCGATCACCTACATTCAGCAGTTTGCTGATGCAGCAACTAATCTGGCAGGGCTGGATGGTCACATGGACAAATGGAGCACGTTGGCCGCAGCATCTGTCTCCACTCCACCTCGACCTGGAGCACTGGTGCAGTGCTTGAGGCTGCCAAAACAGCTGGAGGAAGAGAATCTTTATGTGGACTCCATTATGCCGTGTTGGGACGGAGTCCACCTTCTGGTTTGCTTGCAGCCTTGTGGCTCCGAGTCTCTCAGTGCTACAAACCAAGTGGAGGCTCTGAACAATCTCAACCGTCTCCATTCAGCCTTGTGCAGCCAGCGCAAAGTAGACCCTCTTCACACAGTGGCCAATGGTGTGGAGGGCCATCACCCAGGGGGGTCACCACCACAGACTCCCCTCATACTACCCCCAGGAGACCACCAGCAGCAGCAGAGGTCCCCGAGTCGTGGCAGTGGAGGGGGCTATCTTGCACTCTACAAGCTCAACTACTCCACCCGCATTGTCACTTTGGAAGAGGAGCCCATTAAGGTGCAGCAGATCAGGGACTCTTGTGATGCCATTACCTCCCATATATTACTCCCCCCAGATGTGCTTGACAGCAGAGAAGATGAGAGCGAAGAGGCCTCTGAGGAGGCTCTTCCTTCCGCTCCAAAGAATGGTTTATCTGGGCTTGAAACAGGTCCAGGAAGCTCTGCTTGCTCTGGAACTGGGACTGCATGTGGAGCAGCCACAACCAGTAGCAGCATTGGTGTCACCAGTCTTTCCACCTCTGCCTCCAACCATAAAGAGTGCAGACGAGCAGATATGGCAGGCCTGGGTCACCTGGTGGTCACCACACAGGCTGGGTATATTATGATTTTGGACTTGACCACATTGGAGGTTCTGGCTAAAGTGGAACCACCTAAAAAGGAGGGGTTAGCTGAAGAAACGGACCCTTTTGTCTCAGTTACTTACTGCTCTGGGACCGACCGCCTCTGTGCCTGCACTAAAGGTATGAGTTTTGTTCTGTACTTCCTTATTTTGAAATACGCATTAATAATGGCTAATGAAATGGACAGACAGAAGAAATTGTGAACCCTCGTTTAAATATTTCATATAGCTTTTTATCACAAGGATGACACTTGTTTTTTTTATACGTTTATTTTCTCTTCATTTTCTTTTTTTTATTGTTTTGGGAGCCACAACTTTATTTGCAGAAATACACATTTGCTTAAATGCTTCAAATGTCTATATTTAAGCCGTCAGGATTAAAAGAACAGTTGTAGGTTTTGGTAAATGTTTTTGTGTAGTAGTGTATCTGATGTGAAATCCAGTTTTAACAGGGTAGTGGGTACATTTACATCAAAGCCTTTTTTGCCATATTATGCTCACTAGAATATAGATTATAGCCTAATAGATTATTAGTTTTAATATTTTTCAGTTTGTGTTGAGAACAATGTTCAGGTTCGACTACTCATTAGTTCATGTAAATAAACTTGTTTTGCAGCAGAAACCACATTTAAGTTGGCACTGCTACACGACAATTTTAACATAACGCAACTTGTGACAACATTTAAACAAATATAAGAACATTGTAAAGGTATGATTTTTAAAATAGCCATCAAGAAATACATAGGTAAACAAAAAAACAAAGGGAGTTTGATTAGATTTGACAGTTCAGGGAACAAGAAACCAAACTTTTTGGATTCACAGCAGATGCAAAATGCTTGTCATCTGAGCTTTATTAGAATTACAATATCCATCCAAATTTTAGTTGTCTAGATAAAGTAGTTTTGAATTATAATGCAGTATTTTACTATTGTGTCACGAAAAACGTGAACACTTGCTTCTAGAGGTATTTGGCTGTTCCAACACCACAGTGGTCCCAAACACATTAAAACTGAATGGATAAACAGGCTAACTTTAAGCTTGTCAAATGACCCTACAAGGTCTAGACTTCAACCCTATTGAAAACATGTGAACTATGGTTCAATGGCAGGTTCAAGACAAGAAACCGGACAATTGAAATGAGCTCTAAACAATTCTTCTGAGGAGAGTGGTCAAATATTCAACCAAAATTATGCCAGAAACTGGTTGATGACAAACCCCCCCCCCAAATATTATCAACGGTGTATGTATGTATATATGTATTTGAGCCTGTTTGCATAATTTAAAGTAAATCCACAATAAATTTTCACGGAAAAAGAATAGTTCAAATTGTTTAGTGCCTGAAATTAATTTTACCTTCATGCTCATGATGGATATAAACTGAGCACAACTGCAGGTTACTGGCCAAGAGATTCTGAAATATATATATGAATACAGTCATCAGATACCCAGCTGATCTAATAGTTAATAGCTTGGCCAAAGTAGGAGATGAAGCCACTGACATCCCTCAAACTCCCAGAATCTGAGTTTCTAGTAAAGTGGAAGAGTAGGGCGAACTACAAGTTTTTTATATTTCTTGATTTGTGTGACTTTTGTGTTTTGCTGAAGGTGGAGAACTTCATTTCCTTCAAATTGGAGGTGTTTGTGACGATGTAGATGATGGAGACATGTTTATTGATGGCCCCCTTTCTAAAGGGGCTGAACCACTGCTTGAGGGGGTCAAGCCTTCCTCCAACCCTTCCAGTCCTGGAATCACAGGTAGAACTGACACAACCTCAAAAATTCAGTGCATTTCCTGTGATGTATTGGATCATGTGGTTAAATATTTCCACTTGGTCTTTGTGCAGGAGTGGATCTCCTGGTGGACCAACCACTGACCACTGAGGGCCTCATGTCTTTGGTGGAATTGACTCGCTTTGAGACACTGACGCCTCGTTTCTCGGCCACCGTGCCCCCATGCTGGGTGGAGGTACAGCAGGAGCAGCAGCAGCGACGGCACCCACAGCATCTTCACCAGCAGCATCATGGAGATGCAGCCCAGCACACCCGCACCTGGAAGCTCCAGAGTTACAGGCACAACCTTGTTTTCATGGTTTTAGTTTCTCAATCATTGATCCAGATGTTGTCTTTAAATTAATATGCAACAATAAATAAATTGGACATCTGTTCACAGTACTTAACTTTCAGTAATATTGTTCAGTAATATTATTACCGTGACATTTAGCCACCATGTGACTACGTTTGTGGTCAGAACAGCAAAGCTGCCTGCTTTTGTCACCCAAACCCATCACCAATGATTGTTTTTGTTCTAAAGGTGCTACTTCTCTTTTCTTTACCTCCAACCAAAGCATACTGTCTTGTTGCTGGCTTTTATCTTTAAACCTAAATGTTGAGACAACATTTAGTCATTGATTGCTATGGTAATTGATTATTTTAATTATTCCATCAATTACTTGATTAACTGGTCAAAAAATATTTTTATTTAAAATGGGGCTGGACGATATGGCCAAAACTTGTATCGCGATATATTTCTTAATTTCGGTCGATAACGATATAATTCGATATCGATATAAACAATATCAAAGCCTAAGAAAAACTGTAGAAACTGTACAAATGAATTAATGTTCACCTTTTATTTGTATTTAGCCTTCAACTAAATTTGAAATACTATCAAATAAACATAAAAAAATCTCAACTTTGTCAATATTAATAGTTTTAACTTCAAACAACATAACCTAACCCATGCAGCAAACATCTGCGTTTGCTGCATGGGTTTCTCTTGATACAGCTGGGGGTGTTGTTTCAGAGACACGTTGGCTCAAACTTTTCATCTTCTGTCTCGCATCATATTCTATCGAGTGGAATAAGTTAATGTGTTCCCACCGCTAGTTGGAACGACTCTCCGTCACATTTTGCAGCACATGAAACCTGCAGTTTATCGAATCTTAGATAGCCGAACCACTTCCACACCGTCAAATTAGTCTTTCCTCTCTTATTAATGATGTCATCCTCTTTCTCTTGGCTTGTGAAACCTTGTTCAGTCACATTGTGACGGTCATGGGCACTCATTTTGAAGTGAAAACTAAACACTCGTTGGAGATTAGCCTAGCCTGCTACCACTAACACCTTCTGGACTCGAACTCTGCATAACATCTACGTCACCACGCACTTACGTAGTTGTGTCGCACCATTTTCTGTTCGGGTTGAAACTGAAGCGGCCGCTCAACCTGAACAGAAAAAGAAATGCGTCAGTGAAACTCTGTAATCATATTGAAATATCAAAAATGTGCTTAAAACTCATATTGTTAATGAATAAAAATATATTGCGACATATATCGATATCAAATTATTGTCCAGCCCTAATTTAAAAGCAATAATTCAAAAGGAAAAAAGAAGTCTCTTAATTGTAAAGGATAGTTAAAACATTTTTCAAATAGAGCAACAACCCTCTGTTCAGTTCAGCGTTAAACCTATTTCCCTCCTTCCAAACCGTGACGTCCCACAGGCCACACCCCAAAAACAAACAAACAAAACAAAAAAACGTATTTCTTTCATTTTTTGATGTTTGTTTTGTTTTTCTGCAGTTCCAGCTGGGATGAACACGTGTTTGAGCTGGTGCTGCCCAAAGCCTGCATGGTTGGCCACGTAGACTTCAAGTTTGTCCTGAATGCCAACATTGTGAACATTCCTCAGATCCAGGTCACGCTACTGAAGAACAAAGCACCCGGGCTGGGCAAAGTCAGTGGTAAGGAAGCCATTTATTTACTTGCTGAAATTATTATCCATCTTGTGTGATGTTTGTCTTCATGGCAGAATGTGGTCCTTGACAGATGCTGAAACATCTGTCTGCACTGATTTTTGTCAGCTTGTGTGGAACGTAACTGCCAGCTCAATACTTGTTTGTATTTGAGAGGAGTGAAAACGTTCTTGCTACACAACTGGCCCTGGTTTACATACTTTATTACATTACAAACATTTACGTTACATTTGAGGGAGTGGTGGAACAGAGGTTAGAGAAGGTGGGCCTGTGACCGGAAGGTCGCTAGTTCGTCTCCCCGGACTGACAACATTAAAATGTGGGTGGGAAAGGTGAAACGCCACACTCTTGCCCCACTCTGTGCCCTTGAGCAAGGCTCTTAACCCCCGCCATTTGCTCCCCCAGGTGTCCTAGATAGCAGCTCTTTGCTCCACACAGAGGGCTGTGGTAGCTCACTGGTCTGTGGTTGCGTCAGGAAGGGCATGTGGCGTAAAAACAATTGGCAAGTCTTTGTGCAAGTTAGTTTGATACCTCTAAAGAAGGGAGCAGCTGAAAGAAAAAACTATTTTTTTTGCTCATTGTGAAATAAAGAAACTAATGTGGTATTTGTCCCGACAACTGCAGCGTGTCACACTTTAGTTTGTCTTCTCTCGAGTAGAGACAGCAGTGGACAGACAGATCTCCTTTCCTCTTTCAAACCTTCTCCATGCAAACGGTGAGAAGAACGGCCAGCCTCTGCTGCAGGACTTCACAGAGGACATCCAGTTCATGGACATCGAAGAAACATCAGGTAAAAACTACATTCCACCGCGTTGGTTTAAGATTAGTTGTTGTTTTTTTTCAGATGCTACAGAACTCCAACTCATACAGATCAAACTACATTGCTGTCAGGAGTAGAGCTTGATGATTTTACCCAATAATATTTTAATATTTTGAGGCTTTATAACAATATAGTGTTTCCCCTAGGTCACTTATGGCACTCATCTCTTAGATGAGTTTTGTCAATGTGGCGGGGGTGTGTGAGAAACTTATGTATTGCGTGCTACTTTTGTGCTGGCAGTTGTCAATTGGGGGGTGCGGGGTTGTGGGTGAAGGACATTTTTGGTAGGCAAGCTGCTCGGTTCTGTTGACAGGGCGGGGTGCCCTCCTTGTGTAATGGTACGGGTAACACATGCATATTAAATATGTTCAAATTAGCTTTTAGCCACTGTATTCATTCCAACACTACAGTTTTCTGAAGTCAGGAACCATGATTCAGACCTCAGATCTCTGATTTTGTTCTTTCACTGGGTAAATACTTGGGATGCACCGACACGTTTTTTTTTTTTTTACACTTCCGATCCGATCCCGATCCCATTTCGATAACATGATCAACATTGATTTTATACGCTGTAATAATCTCCTCTCAAGTAAAATTTGTACAAATATATGCATGCATGTCCAAAAAGGCAACTTGAGGTAAGTTTTATTAATATTGGATAAGTTTTAAAGTTAAAATTAAATTCTGCTAAAACAAAGCTTTTTCTTTTAATTCCTAGCTATAAAGTGGATATTAAAGTGATTAATTAAGTGATTGTTTAGTTATTTTATATTTTTTTAAATAAGGGACAGATGTAAGATTTTTTTTCTTCTTTCTGCACTCTTTTCATTCAACGTTTTGTTTTTCATGAATTTGTTTTGTTTATTTTGTTTCTTTTAAATGAATGAATAAATGAATTAAATTAAATTAAATGTTAAATGGCTTTAACATCTGCTACGTTCATGGCATAAACCAGCTTTTTGTTTCATTTAAAAATATATATATAGAATTTTCTTGTAATTTTCAAATCATGTTTTTTATGATTGTCTACTGTTGTATTGATAAATATCTCCTGGAGGGAAAACTATATCTTGGCTGCAAGTATCAAGCTGTGAAATCCTTTGTTTTCTACAAATGATAGTGGTTGGTCATTAATTATGAAGTTTAGCAACTTCTCGGCAAACATTTGAGCTCCGTGGTTTCAGCGATGTCTTTTTCTTGTTCAATCCGAAGCAGGCAGCCTGATTTGGGGCAGCCCCGCTCAGTCTGTCCCTCCTCAGAGACGGGCAGACTGAGGGGGGCAGATTGGACGTGGCTGGCCAGGGTTGAGTCGCCTCTTTCGGTTTGAGCAAAGAGCAGCGCCCCGCTGAAGCCACGGAGCTCGAATGTCCAACGTAAAACTAACTTTACCGCGGTTTAATGTGGCGCTATGGCTCTGCAGACATTGCACGTTGCTGTCTTGTTTTGTGGTGTTTAGTGTAAAATACTTCCACACAGCGGACATGTTTAGATGAAAAGTTTGTTAGCTGTTAGCCACAGTGCTGCTAACTCAGTCCTCACGTTGTAGCTGGCTGCAAACTATGAACTGGATTTCCTGAATGTGAGGCGGGTCTTATTACTCTGGGTTCATGAGACACGCCGCCGTTCAGGAAATCCATTTCCAAAGTTTGAAGCCAACATGCATCATGGATCAGAAATCTCTGCAGTTTGGATTGGAAAAATCCGTTGCGCAAATTATGCTGGTATCGGAGACAGATACTGGATCGGATCCATCTCTAGTAAATAACAAACTTTACAACTGGTACCTTTCATGTTGCAACTGTAGAAGTAGCTTTAACCAGTTTGGATCCAGCACAAAACTTAAACTACAGTTAGGTTTAAAGTAAATACAGCACACATTGTGCCTGGAACCTCTTAAAATGATCGATCTTAAATCACAGTGACCACTGATTTAAACCTGGGACAGGCTAGTGAGTAGCATTCTGTTTGATTCTGATTCTGCACAAGGATCTTTTGATGATAGCAGTAATTAACAAGTCCTCACTAACTTCTGTTGAGCTTTAAAATAAAACTTTATACGTAAACACCCACCATAGAATTTTCTGAATGACTGGGGCCAAAGACTCTACCAGAGTTTTCTGAATGCGGGGAGTGAACTGTGGTTTGTTAAAAGCACATGGAAAAAGCTGATATCCAAGTCCATTACATGCAGAAAATGAAAAGATTAAAACATTTTTTTGATATTAAAATTAGTCATTAAAAAGTTTGATGGGGGAGTAACACTCAGTACATCAAATATTCTCAATTTTCAGTATCCACACATTGTTCTCTACAGCCCCCCCCCCCCCCACCCCACACACACACACACACTCACTGATCTCTGTTGTACGTTTAAATGTAAAGTTGTTCAGGTAGGGAAAGGTGTGTTTGGATAAAGTTGTCATGTTTTAGTATTTTGTGTTAAACATGTAGAATTAATGACTTGGTTTTAGACAACGTGATGCTTCCTAACAAAATAAAAACAACAAATTTTTAAAATTTAAATTAATTTCTCTAAAATGCTAAATTCAAACCTGACTTTGGTGTTTAGTTCTTAGAAACAGTTTTTTCTGGATGTGAGTACCTTCAATGTTTATTGCAGGCTCGATGTTGTGTCCGTTCCTCGAGGATCACAAGGAGGACATTCTGTGCGGTCCAGTGTGGATGGCCAGTGGACTGGACCTCTCTGGGCACTCTGGCATGCTCAGCCTCACCAGTCCCAAACTGGTCAAAGGTAATAATCTGCTGGTTTTGTCACCTTTGTCCTGAGATGATCAGACATTACCTGTGTTTCCAGTTGTACAACAGTTCAAAGCTGCCACAATTAAAACTTGGCTCATCATGTTTAGTGTTTCTTGAGTTATGTTGGCTGTCGTCTGGTAGAATTTCTAGTTTCGGCCTCGGTGTTTAGATTTTTAATGCTGAGTCATGTGAGCAGAGGGTCCATCGTTTTGAGTTTATTTTCTTGTAAAACATTTTTCTTATCGCAGCCAGTCAGCTCAGGTTTTTCTGCTCAGCAGATCATGTTTGAAATCACGCATGAAGGTGTAAAATATCTCTGTGCTTCAGGCATGGCAGGAGGGAAGTACCGCTCCTTCCTGGTTCACCTCAAAGCTGTGAGTGACTGTGGCATGGAGGAGGGTCCGAGGCCCATGGTGAGAATGCCCAGTGCAAAGCCTCAAAGCTCCAAAGTCCACTCCCTGTCCACCCTGCTGCAACAGGCTCAGACTTCCAAGGTGAAACTGGTTCTGCTCTTTGTTTTAAGCCACTGCTTTATCCTTTCTGTTTAGATTTATGCTGAGATTTTTTTTTCTAATTTGTTTCCTGTTGGTGACCCAAAAACAGATCCACTTCTTGTGTCTTAATCCAAAAAACTTATTTTTTTCTGTGAGGGTACAGTTTTGGTCAGTGTTGGTAAAATAAGCACAAAAATATTGTTCAAATGTGTGTCAGTCTTTATCATAATAAAAACAAACCCTTCCATTTCTTTTTTTTTTAATGTTGTTTTTTTGCAGGAGAGGGCTTCTGCGGGAAAAACTGAAAACTCAGCACAGTCAAAGAAAGTTGAGAACCTGCGAGGCTGTGACCTGCTGCAGGAAGTTTCAGTCACAATCAGAAGGTTTAAGAAGACGTCAGTTCCCAAAGAAAGGTCCGTTCTTTCCCAGAATGAACATGTTAACGTCTCGACAGTGACAAGATGCTCACAGAAGTTGTGTTTTTGTCCTCAACTGTAGTATTTTTATAAATTTGACAGGTTCACTTTTAACTTGTATCTTGTCTGTGCTTCTCAGGGTCCAACGCTGTGCTATGCTGCAGTTCCCAGACTTCCACGAGAAGCTGCTGGATGCTCTGTGTCGGCGGACGGAGGGCAGCCTGGCCACTGAGCATGCTCAAAGCCTCATTCTAGACATTCTGTGCTGGCTCGCTGGAGTTTTCTCCAACGGACCCTGCAGGTAAACCCAAACCCGAAGCACACAGAAAGTAAGATTAATTCCTTAGAACATGCCAAAACATTCAACTAATTAATTGTGTCTTTTGGTTTTAGCATCAGAGAAGGAAAGGAGGACCTGCTTGCTAAAACCCAGACGAGGTTATTAGAAATAGTTCGGGTGTGTTTCTTTGAAGCAGGCCGCAGTATAGCACATAAATGTGCTCGTTTTCTTGCACTTTGTATAAGGTAAGAAACCATCTCAATTTCTGCTGAGAAATATGATGCATCTTTTGTCCACTGCAGCACTTTAAAGTCTGCTAAAAATGTTATGTTTTCTAGTGTATTAACCATTTAAAAGCTGGTAAGGTTAAAAAAAATTGTTAGAGCTCAAACTTCAGGAAGTTGTTCATTCTCAGCTTCTCAGATGGCATATAAAATCATAATGTATGAAGTGGGGCAGGAACTCATTTACATCTTACATATGTTGTAATGGGAATGCCATTTGAATTTTTTGTATCAAGAATATTTACAATATTGTATATTAATTATATATTTTATATGAACATATTTGTAATATTTATAATGTTGTTTTGTAGCAATGGCAAAGGAGAACAAAGTCAACAGGGTTTTGGTGTGAGTCTTTTGAAGGCTCTTCTTGATAATATGCCTTATTTACCTGCAGCAGCAACAGGTGGTGAGTAACAAAGTATCCACACATAGCAACAAACAGCAGCTCTTTATTTTAACGTTTCCCCAGAATTTTATTAACAATCTCCTCCCTCTGTTTACTCCAAGGTTCAGTGTTCTGGTACTTTGTGTTGCTAAACTACGTGAAGGAGGAGGATCTGGCCGGCTGTAGCACAGCATGCGCCTCCCTGCTCACTGCCATCTCTCGCCAGCTGCAGGACCGACTCACTCCACTGGAAGCACTGCTGCAAACCAGGTACAATTTTACTTTTTGTTTTGTTTTGCTTATATAGCACAGAGGTTAGAGAACGTGAGTATGTGATCGAGAGGTTGCTGGTTTCAATCCTGGGACCGACAAGCAAAAATTTGGGTAGAAAAGGTGAAACAACCACATATGCCTGTTCCCTCATTTTTTCGTCTCTGTGCCCTTGAGGAAGGCCTTAACCCCCACAGCTGCTCCCTGGGTGCATTAGTAAGTAAATAGTTTATTCATAGTGCGCTTATCACAGACATAAGTGCTGTACAATAAAAATCAATGCTAAAATATACAAAGAATAAAACAAGCGTAAGAAGCACAATAAAATCATGACATAAAAGCCTGAGAGAATAAAAGTGTTTTCAGTTGCTTTTTAAAAACCTCCACAGAGTCAGCAAAACGAAGCTGCAGGGGCAAACTGTTCCACAGCCTTGACGCCACTGACTGAAAGGCCCTGTCACCTTTAGTTTTCAGCTGCATACGTGAAACATCCAAGAAATTCAGTGTCTGGGATCAAAGGCCATGAACAGCAGAGTATTTGGTTAAAAGCTGACAAAGATACCCAGGAGCATGCCATTTAAAGCTCTGTATGTCAGCACAAGAAGAAACGGATTCTAGACTCCACTGGGAGCCAGTGTAGTGAATATAGAACAGGAGTGATGTGATGGTATTTGCTGGATTTGGTGAGAAGTCTGGCAGCTGCGTTCTGTATTACTTGTAGATGTGAGACAGAAGACTTGCCCAAGCGAGTAAAAAGGACATTACAGTAGTCCAGACACGATGACACAAAAGCGTGAATAATTTTCTCTAGGTCAATTCTGGAGACCATAGATCGTATTTTAGAAATGTTTCTTAAATGAAAGAACCAAGAACGGGAAATGGCTTTAATGTGAGACTCAAAGCCTAATGATGAGTCAAATGTGACTCCTAGATTTTGTTTTTTTAATTTGGTTACTGTTCAAAAAAGAGGCAGTTGTTTGACTGATTTTTGGATGTAGGTGACTGGGAGCAGTTATCACAGTCTTCGTGTTACAGGTGTTTAAAACCAAGAAGTTTCTGGCAAGCCAGTCACTGATATGGGACAAACATTGGACAAGGCTGGCCAACTTGTCCAGCTGGTGTGGTCTAAACGAAAAATACAATTGAATGTCATCAGCATAAATGTGATAGGAAATATCAGAAAAGGACTGAATAATGCCAGCAAGTGGGATAATATAAAAGGAAATCAATAGTGGACCCAGAACTGAGCCTTGTGGCGCCCCACAAGTTAAGGGGGCATAGTCTGAGGAGAACCTGTCCATCTTGATGCAGAATGTCCTGTGAGATAAATATAAGTGAGCCAGTCCAAAGCTGAGCCAGAAATACCAGCCAAAACTGTTAGCCTATTTAATAAGGTTGCGTGGTCGACAGTATCAAAGGCAGCACTAAGATCTAACAGGACCAACACAGAGCATTTTTCTTCATTGGCAGCCATTAACAGATCGTTGTGGACTTTTACTAGAGCAGTTTCAGTGGATTGGTGTTTTAGAAAGCCAGACTGAAAGGGATCAGAGATCTGTAACTGACAACCAGGATCTGAGTTGGGTTCCTACAACTTTGTCAAGTAATTTACTGAGAAAAGGCAATTTTAAAATGGGACGGAAGTTGGAAAAGGAGCCAGAATCAAGATTAGGTTTCTTTAAGAGAGGGATCACTTTGGTGCATTGAATGGCAGCCCTCTACTCCACACGCAGGGCTGTGGTAGCTCAGTAATCTGTGGTTGCATCAGGAAGGTCATCCGACGTAAGAACAATTGTCAAATCCTCATGTGACTTGGCTCGCTGTGGCGATCCCTGAGAAGGGCAGCAGACAGGGATGGATTGGTGGGAATCATAGTAGAAAAATTTCTGAAGAAATGTTTAAAGGTGCCACAACAGCTACAGCTCAGAATTCCAACATTGGCTGTTTCTATAAAGCTCAAAAATAATTTGGAAAATACTTTTGCAATAATCTAAGCTGCCAACATGCTGACTTTTTGATATATAAACTCTATAAGAAGTGTAATGATAACCAAGAGCAAAATAAATGTTAAAACTGCTGCCCAATGGCTCATTAGGGTCACTATGGTAACCTTCCACCTGCATCTGTCATGGCTTGACAGCACTCCTATTAAGACAGGACAGACAGGTTGGAAAGTAAATTCTGAAACAATTACTGTGTTAAAAAAAATATCCTTTGGTTTCTGAGCTGAAAGTGGCAGAAACATCTGGTCGTCATGTCTGTTTTTGTGAGGCATTTTAACTGTTTGTAACTAAAGAATAAATACAATGCAGTCCAAATTATTATACAAATTGTATTTAAGTGTCCTAAAGAGTATTTTTGGTTTTTCAAACTCATGGATGGTATTGTTACTCGGCTCTTTGGATCACTGTAATCAATCTCAGACACGTGATGAAAAGTTTGCCTGGTGAGGCCAATTAAAGGAAAGACTAAAGGACGTTCCACATTATTAAGCATGCAACCATTTTCAAGCAATATGGGGAAAAAAGGATCTCTGCTGCCGAAAAGCGTGAAATAGTTGAATTCCTTGAACAAGGTATAAAACCTTAGATTTTTCACAAAATCTTAAGCGTAATTATCGTATTGTTCATAAATTTGTTTCTGATTCTGTACGGAAAGCTATTTCATTCAAAATTAAATAAATAAAAAGTGTTATTTAAAAAATATGAATAAATATTCAATTAAACAAATAAATGTTTCTATGAAATAAAAATTTAAATATGTTATGTTTTTATGTTCAGGGGGATGTAGATGTGTTTGTTCCTTCTGAAGTCCACAATCATCTCTTTTCTCTTCTTCTCATTGATGTGAAGGTTATTTTCTTTGCACCAGCTCTCCAGATGTTCCTCCTCTTGTTTGTAGCTGGACTCATTGTTGTTTGTGATGCATCCCACCACCACTGTATCATTTGCAAACTTAACGATATGACAGCTTGGATGAGGATGAGTTGGTGCACAATCATACGTGAGCAGAATGAACAGGAGAGGTCTCAGCCCACATCCCTGAGGAGAGCCAGTGCTGAGGGTTATGGTGGAGGAGAAGTTGTGGATCCTCACTGACTGTGGTTTGTTTGTTAAGAATTCTAATACCCAGTTGCAAATGGAGGGGCTCAGTCCTAGTGTGAATAGTTTGTCCATCAGGATTTTAGGCATTATGGTGTTGAAGGCAGACGTGAAGTCCACAAAGAGCATACGGACGCAAGAGTCCTTCTTATCCAGGTGGGTGAGAGCAGTGTGGACCACAGAGGAGATGGTGTCCAAAACAGTTACACCTTTGTGGAATCATTGTCACCAGTTATGTAGTAACACTTACTGTGAATCAATGTCACTTGCTGCTGTGCAAGTGGAACACACAACAAGTGGAATGAGAGGCAATTAAGACAACCCCTTTAAAAGAGTGATTCTGCAGGTGGTAACCACAGGTCATTTCTCTGTTCTCGTCCTTTCTGGTTGAACTTTTAGTCACTTTTTCATTTTGTCAGTACTGTCACACATAGAGGCATCATGAGGCGTTTTTTTACAGCCCACTGAAGTTGCTCAAGTAGTGCAGCTAATCCAAGATGGAACATCAATGTTAGCGGTGGCAAGAACATTTGCTGTGTTTCTCAGCACAGTGTCCAGAGCATGGAATAGGTACCAGGAGACAGGCCAGTACACCAGGAGACATGGAGGGAGCTGTAGGAGGGCTACAACCCAGCAGCAGGACCGCTACGTCGTCCTTTGTTCAAGGAGAAACAGGAGGTCCACTGCCAGGGCCCTACAAATGACCTCCAGCAGGCCACTAATGTGCATGTTTCCACTCAAACTGTCAGAAACAGACTCCATGAGGGTGGTATGAGGGCCCGACGTCCACATATAGGGTCTGTGCTTACAGCCCAACACCATGCAGGACGATTGGCATTTGCTAGGGAACATCATTGGCGCCCTGTGCTCTTCATGGATGAAAGCAGGTTTACACTGAGCACATGTGACAGACGTGACAGAGTTTCGAGACACCGTGGACGACATTATGCTGCCTGCAACATCCTCCAGCATGATCGGTTTGGTGGAGGGTCAGTCATAGTGTGGGGAGACATTCCTTTGGATGGCCGCACAGCCCTCCATGTGCTAGCCAGAGGTGCTCTGACCTGGATTAGAGCATCAGTTAGGTCCTGAACAGTCTGTGGTGGCCTTGGTGGATTAACCGAAACATGATGTCCCAGATGTGCTCAATTGGATTCAGGTCTGGGGAACGGGCAGGACAGTCCATAACATCAATGCAGGAACTGCTGACACACGAGGCCTAGCAGTGTCATGCATAAGAACGAACCCAGGGCCTCTGCACCAGCATATGGTCTTTCAATGGTCTGAGGATCTTATCCCGGTACCTTATGTCAGTTAGGTTGCCTCCTGGACGCCTCCCTGGTTAAGTGTTCTGGGCACGTCCCACCGGGAGGAGACCCAGAGGAAGACCCAGGACACTCTGGAGGGACTTATGTTTCTCGGCTGGCCTGGAAATGCCTCGAGATTCCCCGGAGGAACTGGACCAAGTGGCTGGGCAGAGGGAAGTCTGGGCCTCCCTGCTTAGGCTGCTACCCCTGCGACCCGACCCCGGATAAGCGGAAGAAAATGGATGGATGGATTTAGTTATCGATTTCCCCGACCTATAAAACTCATAGATGGGCTGCATTGACCCTGACCAGACCCGCCTCACAGAGAAAACCCCGCCCCCTCATTTGAATATAAGAACATGAAATAAAAAGTGCTTAAAATGAAAAATGGGTTTAAAAAGTAAAACCCCTGAAACATGTTAAGTAGCTTTACAAAATAAAAATGTCACAAAGTGAAACTCCATTATTAAATAAATAAATCTTGAATTAAATAAAAATAAATCTTGAAAGAAATAAAAAATAAATCTGGGATAAAACTGAACATTTTCTATTTGAATGCTTTATTTCATGGGAACATTTATTTATTTATTGGAATATTTATTAATAATTTCTATTTATTTAATTTTGAATTGCATGGCTCCATAATTGAGAGCACACACAAGTTTGTGCAGATAAAAGCAGAACGAGGAAGATTTCTGCCAGACAAATGCATTGGATTAAGAGAGAAGCTGCTAAGATATCTTCAAAGCTGCAAACAGATATTTAAAGCTGCTGTTGCCTCTGGAGTCCCTCAAACATTAAAGTGTAGGATCCTCCAGAGGCTTGCAATTGTGCATAAACCTTATATTCTGCCACCCCTAACCAGTGCTCACAAGCAGAAACGGCTGCGGTGGACCCAGAATTACAAACGGTCTTGTTCAGTGATGAGTGCCGTGCAACCCTGGATGGTCTTTATGGAGTAATGGATGGGTGCTGGACAGCCACCATGTCCCAACAGATCTGACATCAGCAAGGAGGTGGCGGAGTCATGTTTTGGGCCAGAATCATTGTGAGAGAGCGGATTCACCCTGTTAGGGTTCCTGAAAGTGTGAAAATGACCTGAAAAGTATACAGAGTTTGTAATTGACTACTTTTTTTCATGGTACAAAAAGAAGAACCATGCTTTCCATAACACAATCATATTCATGCATGACAATGCACCTTCTCATGCTGCAAGGAATACCTCTGCATCACTGGCTGCTATGGGCATAAAAGGAGAGAATCTCATGGTGTGGCCCCATCCTCCCTTGACCTCAACCCTATGGAGAATTTTTGGAGCATCATCAAGCAAAATATGTTTGAGTGTGGGAGGCAGTCCACATCCAGACAGCAGCTCTGGGAGGCTTTTCTGCCATCCTGTAAATAAATTCAAGCAGAACCTCTCCTAAAACTCAACAGTTCACTGGATGCAAGAATTGTGAAGCTGCTGTCAATCAAAGGGTTCTATGTTAAAATGTAACTTGACCTGCTGAGATGTTTTTGATAAAGCTTTTGATTTCAGTAAACTTGACCTCCTCCTACTGCTGCAAATTCAACAAATGACCACTTTCAGTTCTTTACAACCTAAAAAATGTTTAGAAACTCTGTGTGTTTTAATTTGGAACATTGTATTTTAAGTCTTTTATTTTTTTTGGGGGGGGGAAGTACAGTTATGATTGTGAGATTTTTTTCCATCAACATTTGAATTATACTCGTAAGTGTTGACGACTTGCAATATTTGCTGACTGTTATTGGGAACATCAAAGAAAATATTTGTGTAATAATTTTGAATGTGGTGTAGTAATACAAATGCTGTATTTCTTATGTCCCTTAATAGGTGCTTTTTAAACTGCTGGGTTTTGTTTCATGTGGAACGTCTTTTGTCTCCCCCCCCTCTATGGTCACTTCTGTTCAGGTACGGTCTGTACAGCTCTCCCTTTGATCCGGTGCTCTTTGACCTGGAGGTCAGCGGTTCCTCCTGTAAGAACGCCTTCAGCAGCAGCACTGGAGTTCAGTCAGATGAGATTGACCTCTCTGACATCCTCTCGGGTAGAACCACAGCAGACACTATATTTACTGTACTTCAGCCTTTTTTTTACCTCTCAGCCTGCTTGATGAGCAACTTCTTTATCACAATAGTTAATTTAATTGCACATTAAAGAAGGTGATTGCATTAAGATTGTGTTTGTTCGTCACAGTAAACAGATATTTTGGATTAAAAAACTGTAATCGTTCTTATTCCATCTGTCACCAAGAGAAAAATAAACTTTACAAACATGTTTTCAGTTTATGACATTTAATATGTGAACATTTACCTAACACTGCCTTTACTTTTTTAATGTTGATTCTCAAAAATCAAAACTTGTTTTTTTAACGGTTAATTCCAAAAAGTCTGCATTTATTTTTAGTAGATTGCTGAAATGAGGTGCTCAGGTTCTGAATGTTTTTTCTGTGTTGCAGGAAATGGAAAAGTGAGCAGCTGTGCGGCAGCAGAGGGCAGCTTCACCGCTCTGACTGGGCTCCTGGAGGTGGAGCCTTTGCACTTTACTTGCATCTCCACCAGTGATGGAACACGGGTGGAAAGAGATGATGCCAGCATGTTCACTGGTAACTCCTGTGATTTTAGTTAGTGTTTGCTTAGGTTTTTCTTTATCAACAGGTTGTTTTTCAGCTATACTTCATTTTCACTCCAGTAAGCACGTTTGGTGTGACCCCAGCTGTGGGTGGCCTGTCGACGGGGACGGTTGGAGAAGCTTCAACGGCTCTGAGTTCTGCAGCTCAGGTGGCTCTCCAGTCTCTGTCTCATGCCATGGTGTCAGCTGAGCAGCAACTGCAGGTCCTGCAGGAGAAACAGCAGCAGCTATTAAAACTGCAGCAACAGGTGAAACTCCTACCCTTTGTAAAACGCTCCTCTTGAACCCAGTTGAAATTTTAACATTAACTTTAACACAAAATTACAAGGATTGTTTTTTCTGATTGCATGCTGAACACCTCAAGTAAACCTAGTCAGTGCCAAGAGATGTTTGATTGGCTGTGCAGTTTAAGCATCAATCTTTTTAGATGAATACATGCATTAAATACTACAAGACCCAATCCATTGGTGAGTCCTGACGATTTACAAATGATTGATGATGGATGACTGGACAAATCATTTTTGTTGGTGAAAAACAAAAGGTTCTCCCTCAATCTGAACTTTCTGTGAATTTCAAACCAAAATGTTTGAAGTGATTTTTTTTCCCCTTAAAAATGTGCAATTATTTGTTCCATAAGTACAAAACACCTGTAGCTTAGTTTCTTAGTTTGCAGCTTGTTATTTGTGAACATATAACAAACATACGTTATCAGTCCCTGAAAGTAAATTGTTTGGCTACTGTGCTTCATAAAAAGGACGAAAGTAAGAATAATCTAAATTTAAGACTTAATAATTCAACTAAAGTGGAAAATGAAAAGAGAAAAATAAGCACAGCATAAACCATTAGTTCATTAGGGTATTTGCAATACCATTGCTATTCTTACTGTTGAAGGACACACACACATTATTTAAACACATAAAACTTAGAAACTCAGTTAATCTAAAACTAATTTAAATTAATTTTTTTATTTGTATTCCCCTGTCCAAGGCGGATTATATTCTGGTATAGTCTTCGTACGTCTGTACGTACGTTTGTCCATAAACATCCTCTTGTCCGGCCCATAACTTCTGATCCGCTCAAGATAACTTAACAAAACTTCATACACATGTCATCATTAGACAGTGTGTCACAAAAACATTTTATCACCCCACCTCCAAGGTCAAGGTCACAAATCAAGGTCAAAGTTTAAACAGGTATTTTCTTGTCCTGCCATTAATTTCTGAGCCGGTCAAGATAATTCAATAAAACTTACACATATGCATCATCAATAGACCGAGTGTCACACACTTTTCATCACCCCAGCTTCAAGGTAAAATGTTTTACAAGGTCTTTACTTGTTCATGCCATTGCTAATTACAATAATGTTAAACACTTTTCTGAAGTTAAAAAGGTCATGTGGTAAATACATATGTTTCAGGATAAAAACATTTTTGTGGCACTTAAAAACATATTTCCTTGTGGGCACAGTTAGTTCATGGCTGCTAAATCAATGTTCATTCTTCACAGATGATTTTTTGAAACTTGAGTCTGGATGTGCTATTAGCTGTCTTGGGCTTCTTCTGTGCCATTTGTCATTTACTACTGATTTTAGCTGCTTAAAATCTAAAAATGTTATAGCTGTGTTGAATTGATTAAAAAAATGTAGAAAAATCCTTTAATCAGTGTGTCGTGTAAAATTTTAGGAATTTTAGCCTGGAATGTATTTAGAAGTCAAGAGATTTTTTTATATTTTATTTTTATTTTTTGAGGGTCTTATAATTTACCGTATCTTTTGAAAATGCAAACATCTCCTTATCTGGACGCAGAAGGCAAAGCTGGAGGCCAAACTTCATCAGACCACCTCTGCAGCAGCTGCTGTGGCCTCCGGAGTGGGACCCATCCACAACTCTGTGCCTTCAAACCCCTCGTCTGCTCCGGGTTTCTTCATCCACCCCTCTGACGTCATCCCACCCACTCCTAAAACCACGCCCCTCTTCATGACCCCTCCTCTCACGCCGCCAAACGAAGCAGTATCTGCGGCCTTCAGCTCGGAGCTTGCTCACCTATTTCCAGGCTCCATGATGGAGTCTGGGCCTGTCAACCTGGCAGCGCACAAGAACACACAGAAGACCAAAACGGTTAGTTAATTATGCTGCTTTCATTCTGAGTAGTTTTTCTTTATTTGCCTGGGAAACACAATTACTTCTTAGTTGTCAGAAGAAAAATTTAGGACAAGCCAAAAGCTGATGTTCAAAGTGTCTGTTGTTCTATACGACTTAACAATAATAGTTCATTTACTTATTTTTTTTCTTAGTTGTTTGTTTTAGCTCTTAAATATTTCTGCACCACAGCAATGATACTCAGAACTTGATTAGATTAGATAGAACTTCAATGATCTCTTGGGATGATTCCTTCAGGGAAATTAAAACTGAATGATGACATGAAATGACAAACGCTCGCTGAAATAGAAAAGTTTGTTTCTGTAAGAAAATGACGTCAACAGTTAATGAGAATTTTTGCTTTTCAGTTGAACTGAAGTTTTTTCAGACCAGTCTGATTAGAGCTCTTTAACTTGTACACACTGAAGTATATTTATTCAAATAATATATTGGCTTAATGAAATGTGTATATGTGTATTTTGTTTTGTTTATTTAGTATGTTATTGTGTTAAAACATGATCTGATTTCCATTTCCGGTAAAGAATGTAGTTTTCGCTCCACGCCTACAAATCCCAACATCCACACACCATTTTTAGAACACAGAATGGTGAGATTTTATTGGTTGAGAGCTGGGTCACATGAATAGGGCTTCCCATTCGTTGATGGTGGTGACTTCTGGGAGGTGTGGCCAAGCTCTGAAGATCATGTGTGTTCAGCTAACGCTCGGGGCCGTTGTTTGTGATCGCGTGGAGAAGCAGTAATGGCCCAGGGCTGGTCATTTTTGTACCTTACATCATGTGTGTAAAATAAACGTTGTGAAAATGGATGAAGATTGCTCCTCCCCAGCTTGCTTCAGAAATGAACACATTTAACAAGACCATAGACTTCTTCTGGACAAAAGAAATGTAATGTTGAAGTTCATGCCAAAACAAAACGAGCACCTCCTAGTGGTTGGCTGCTGTTTTAGTTTCAAGTCCATGTGAACAAATGGGACATTTTCCTGCAATTAGAAATAAACAGTTCCCTTTTGGTCAGTAAACTCTGTACAGTTCGTGAGCATGAGGGATTGCAGCTTTGCAAGAACCATCCTGAGGGTGGTTCTTTTAACACATTTGCTGATGCCTGTGACACTGCTGAATACTCAGGACACTCTGCCTGTCTGGAGTTATAATTGGCTACATTGTCTCATTCCCTCAGTCTTTTTGCACGTCACCTCTCCTAACCTGAATGCAGGCTCTTGTGTGCAACTTGCCTGTCTGACCACAGGTGAGCTTGCTCTGTGCCCAGGGTAACCCTACAAGGCTTGATCCTGCAGCATTTCTTTAGCCCGTGTAACAGAGCTACCACAGTGCTTTGCTCTGCTACCAGTCCAGCCTGTCTACCTTCCTAATTGACAAAACTTTACAGTGGGATATGCCATAGGTTTTAGATGTGTTTTTTGCCCTTTTGGACATTTAGAATTGATCAATGTGAGTATGCTGTCCTATAAAACAGCACTTCTTGTGGCACAGAAGAAACGGCAAAATGCGTGTGTGACACCCATGTTCTCTTGGTTGATCTGTGTACCCAGTTTGTCCAGGACTGCTCCAAAGTGACTTTATGCCCAAACTCTGTGTTTGTTCTTTAAAGCCGTCATGGTTCTTGACTGTGTTGACCACCGATTCAGGGACACTGGCTCAGTACTGGTGAGCTGTTTGTGTGCTTTGCAAGCCCTGTGGCACAGCTTTATCCTAACAATGCCTTTCTCACTGGGTTGTTAAAACAATTTTGCTTCCTTATGCTTAAATGCGTATGTGGGGCCAGTGGTGTGCACATGCTCTCAATCAGAGACTCTTGAGTATTGGTTGAGAACCTCTAGTGGATATATTCTGCTGCCAACTGGGCATCTCCAAAATCATTACTCAGATTTTTAACTTGTATTTAACAGCCTGTGATGTCACCAAAGCTGTTCTCTCAGTGAGGATGTGACTCTGGCTAGTCGGGGCTGTGTTATCCCAATCTTTCTGCCCGAGTGTGTTCAGATTGTGGGTTCCCATATTTGTGTCGTATCGAGTGTACCGACTGAACGGGAACTGGACCCTGAGGGAGAGAAACGAGGTACAACACAACTCATCACCTCAATGCACCAGAGCTCTGTAAAGTTCACTGCAGATTGAGACTAGTCAGGGTATTTATAACCTCAGGTGGTCGGGGCCTCCTGGGTATGCAGCAGTCTCACGGGCTTTGTCAGCCGTAGTAAAAGAAATGACTCTGTTTGGTCTCGTGAGAGCACAATCCATATGAGCATGTGTCCAAAGTAGTTTCCTTTCTTCTGGGAAAACTGGTTATATTCATGACCTCCAGATAATTGTTTCCAGGTCTTCTGTTGATTTACATAGTTCTTACCTTCTACATGTTCCTATATTCATTTTTATAATATGTTTAGTTCCGGCCATTTTTTTGGTGATAAATTTCAGAATTAATTTGGTTGTTTGCAAAAATTATTTTATTTTTATTTTTTTACCACAGAGCCCTATGGGCAGTGGTCTCGCTCTGGCCATTTCCCAGGCATCTCACTTCCTGCAGCCTCCTCCACATCAGTCCATCATCATAGAGCGAATGCACTCTGGTAAGTTACGTTACCGTGTTCCATGTTTACCACACAAATGTGTTCAGACCAGGGGTGTAAAAGTGTACAAAAATCCTGATTCATTACGTACCTTGTTTTTAGAGTCATGGTTTGGTACAGGTTTAATACAACTGGAAAAAAGAAACAAATGCCTTATTTTCCCTCATTTTAAATCTACAATAACCCTCCTAGGAGCAGAAACAGATATTTATTGCTCTCCTTCAAATAGTGAGTAATAAATATGTGTGCCATCTTCCAGAGATGAGTGTGGTGACCTGTGACTAATATAACCCTTGTCTTGTCCTGACAGTATGGTTCAGTACAAACACATTTAGAATTAAAAGTAGATACTTCTACTGTAAATTGTAAATACTTTTTTCCCCAAGGGGCTCGTCGCTTTGTTACTCTGGACTTCGGCCGTCCTGTCCTGCTGACGGACGCACTGATCCCGACCTGTGGTGATCTGGCTTCTCTGTCCATCGACATCTGGACTCTGGGGGAGGAGGTGGATGGTCGCAGGCTGGTGGTGGCTACAGACATTAGCACCCATTCACTCATTCTGCATGACCTGCTACCACCACCAGTCTGCAGGTTCATGAAGGTCAGTTTTTGTTTTAGTGGGAGAATAATGAGCTGGTCAGTAAAACCTGTTAGTTTATTATTTTTTCTTAAGTTCATTCCCCAACAGTGGAAAAAAACAAACAAGAACTTCATTCATTTGTTCAAACTCAGATTACGGTTATTGGGCGCTATGGCAGTACCAGTGCACGGGCCAAGATACCACTGGGCTTCTACTACGGACACACATACATCCTTCCATGGGAGAGTGAACTTAAACTGATGCATGATCCTCTGCGAGGAGAGAGTGAGGCTGCCAGCCAGCCAGATGTGGACCAACATCTGACAATGATGGTGGCTCTACAAGAAGATATCCAGTGCAGGTGAGGCACAAATCCTACAAAGCTGTTTTCTGAGTTGGTTTCTTTACATTTGATACACATCTATCCTCATTTTCTCTGACTGGTCCCTGCACAGGAGACTGACCAGTTTTTGTACAAATCTGTCCTATTTGTATTTAAATCTGCAATGATTGTTTCCCATTTTTATTGACACATGCACTATTGTCTTTATTCTTAAGGTACAATCTAGCTTGCCATCGGCTGGAGACTCTTCTACAGAATATCGATCTGCCCCCTCTCAACAGTGCAAATAATGCTCAGTACTTCCTCCGAAAGCCAGACAAGGTGGTTGAGGAGGACCAGCGTGTTTTCTCAGCCTATCAGGACTGCATCCAGCTGCAGCTCCAACTCAACTTGGCTCACCATGCCGTCCAGCGGCTGCGCGTCTCACTGGGCGCCAGCCGCAAGTTCTTGCCCACAATGGGTGATCCAGAAGCTCAAGAGCTGGTTCACAACTCATCCACAGAGCAGCTGAGGACCATCATTCGGTACCTGCTGGACACACTGCTCAGCCTGCTGCACTCCAATAATGGTGAGGCAGGAAACGGGTCATGGTTGGAACTGCTGGAAAATGGAATATTAAATTTAGATTTTTTTTTTTCCACGCTTCATTTATTAATATCTTTGTTTGCATGTTGCCAGGACACTCTGTTCCCTCAGTTCTCCAGAGCACCTTCCATGCTAAAGCCTGTGAAGAGCTTTTCAAGCACCTCTGTATCAGTGGGACGCCTAAGATCCGTCTTCATGCTGGCCTGCTGTTGGTGCAGCTCTGTGGAGGTGAACGCTGGTGGGGCCAGTTTGTCTCCAATGTGCTGCAGGAGCTCTACAATTCTGAACAGCTGCTCATTTTCCCTCAGGACAGGTAGAGTCACCACAGTTAGCACACAGTGTTTGGAGATTACCGAAGAGGTATTATGACTGGGCTGTTTAAAGTGCCTGTGACATCAAATCGTTCTTAGTTAGTGCTGACAGACGCACGGGTCGGGATCAGTGCGTCATGGTGCACCTCTCACTGCACTGTGCTCCATTCTGTTCTGTATCTTTGACCCAGCATACAGAACTTTCTGTATGCTGCATGATTAATGTGAATGCATTTTTGGAAAGATAACGTTAGTGTTTTGCACAAAAAAAAGTTTTATGCTGCTCAGATAAAAAGCTGTTGAGGTATTCACATGTAAAGCCTACATGTGAACAGATCATTGCTACAAAGGCTACCAGCACAGACAGTAGAGACAAATCTGATGTTTCTTTAGATTATTTTGAGTCATTATCAGAAAAAGAGACAAAGAAGTGTTGGAGTTTAAATAAGAATATTTCACTAAACAAAGGCCAATGAGGTCTCATTTATTCAACCTTTATTTCTACAGAACCATTGAGCCACGAGGACTCATTTACAAGAGAGACCTGTTTTAAACAAAGAACACAGATGAGGTTCAGACAGCGATAGACAATCATAAAAACCATATAAAATGAAAAGTACACTGCCTGGCCAAAAAAAAGTCACCACCTGGATTTAACTAAGCAAATAGGTACAAGCCTCCTATTGGATAATTACTGCATGGGAGATTATCTTTCAGCTGCAACAAGTTATTTAACTCTAACTGGTGTAATGATTTGCTTCTCATTTCTTAAACAAGCATGTCAAAGACAAATCGTGTGGTCGTGGAAAAGATGTCAGTCTGTTTGAGAAGGGTCGGGGGGGTCAGGTTGTTCCAGAGTTTGGGGCCCATGACTGAAAATACCCAATCTCCTCTGAGCTTCAGTCTTGTTTTAGGAACAGCCAAAAGCAGCTGATCAGATGATCTCAGGGCCCGAGAGGGAACGTATGGTTCCAGTAGCTCGGAGAGGTAAAGGGGTGCAAGGACATTTAAGCATTTGAAGGTCAACAGAAGAATTTTAAAGTATTTTCTAGTACGCACAGGGAGCCAGTGAAGGGAGGACAGAACTGTTGTGATATGTTCAGACCTACGAGTTCCGGTTAAAAGCCGAGCAGCAGCATTCTGAACGAGCTGAAGACGTGAGATGGAGGCCTGGCTGACCCCAGCATAGAGTGCATTTTAATAGTCCAATCGGGTCGTGACAAAGGCGTGGACTAGTTTCTCATGGTCGGGTCTGGACAACACTGGCTTGAGCTTAGCTACCTGTCTTAGCTGGAAGGAGCTTTTCTGCAGAACAGAGTTGATTTGTTTGTCAAACTTAAAGTCGAGTCTAAAACCATCCCGAGATTTTTACCAGACTGCTTAAGATATGGGTCAAATAATTGGCATGCATCAAGCAGAGAAAACATTTGAGGAGATTACAGAAACTATTAAAATTGGTTAAGAACTGTCCAATGCATTATTAAAAACTGGAAGTATAGTGAGGACCCGTCGTCTTCAAGGAAGAAAAGTGGCTGGAGAAAATCTTGAATGATCGTGATCGGTGATCACTTAAACATTTGGTGAAATCAGATTGAAGAAAAACAACAGTAGCACTCAGGGCTGTGTTTAATAGTGAAAGTAAGAGCATTTCCACACGTACAATGTGAAGGGAAACTCAAGGGATTGAGACTGATTAGCTGTGTAGCCTTAAGAAAACCACTAATCAATGAGGCTAACCAGCAACAAAAGGCTTCAGTTTGCTAGGGAGCATAAAGATTGGACTCTGGAGCAATGGAAGGTCGTCATGTGGTCTGATGAGTCCAGATTTACCCTGTTCCAGAGTGATGGGTGCATCAGGGTAAGAAGAGAGGCAGGTTAAGTGAGGCACCCATCATGCCTAGTGTCTAGTCATCAACGCAAGATCTTGGTGAAAATTTAATGCAACACTGGATGGACATAGATCTTGTGACATTGCAGAAGCTTATTGAAACAATGACACAGTGAATGCATGATGTAATCAAAGCTAAAGGCGGTCCAACGAAATATTAGTGACTCTTCAGACGCATGGCTCAACACAGGAAAGCCACCTCCTCTGGACAAGACTCAGTTGTTCACCTCCACCTCAAGGATAAGGGACACTCATTTGAGGACTAAAATGTTCACATTGTGTACCGAGAACACAGATGGTTTGAGAGGGGGGTGAAGGAGGCTGTTTATTTAAAAAGAGAGAAACCATCTCTAAACAAAGGAGGAGGCCTCAGATTTCAACTTTCAAAAACTTATAATGCAGCTTTAGGACTGATACCCAGCCAGTGTCACACCTATCAGATGGGACCAGAGGGGCCACGTCTGTGAATTAGATTAACAAAGACCTTAAGAAACCCCTACTCTTAAAGTGTGATAAGTCAATCTGCAAATGTATGTGTGCATCTTATCTCAGCCTTATAACCTGAACCCCACACTCTCTGCTGTTTGAACTGAGAAAGCTTCTTGGATGAGGAGCGAAACGTCTTCTGTTAAGTCCAGTTATTTTTGCTTCAAACTTTTTTGAATTTACAATGTCCTAGATGACTGAGAATCTTCACCAGCTTAGTGTGTGACCTTTTTTTTTGGTGGCAATTTTTTTTTTTTGGCCAGGCAGTGTACATGAAATTATATGAAAATGAAACAATATTAATAGTAATATTGATAAGTAATGTTAATTAATATTAATTAGTAATATTCTTCACCCTCATCTTCCTCTTCTATGCTACCTGCTCCAACTTCCTCATAATCCTTTTCCAGAGCTGCCATGTCCTTCCAATCCTCAGAGAACTCCTCCTCCTCCATCCCCACATACCAGTGGACAAAGGTCCTCTTGGCATTCTTCAGGTCAAACTTGTGGTCTAGTCTAGTCCAGGCCTCGGTGATGGCCATGATGTTGCTACAAGGCCCTCTGGACCTTGGCCAGGTCTCCACCAGGAACCACAGTGAGCAGCTGGTAGTTGATGCCCACCTTGAAACCAGTGGGACACCAGTCCACAAACAGGATGCCACGTTTAGTTTTGATGGTGACGATGTCTCCTTTTAAAGAGCTCCTCTTTGAAGTTGTCACTTCCTGTTTCACTTTGGCTGCAACAAGGTCAAAAGAAAATATGTCAGTTATGTGACAAAATGGGTAAAATCAAGTGTATTAAGCCATGTTTCTTTAAAGTTAAGATGTTTCACTTTTGTATTTGTACAGTATGAATGTCACATGCACTTTAAACCTCAGTGGAAATGAGTCATGACCAAGTATTCATGCTAGGCTCTGAAACATGTCGATTCTAAACCCACAGCTGTGGAGAATCCCAAAAAAGGGACTGGGATGTTTGTGTGTGAACTGCTCACTGACAGTTTTTTATATTCAAGAACTGTCATGTTATACATATGACCACTGTTCCCTGAAGGAGAGGAACAGCGTAGAGTACAAATATGAACCCATATTCATTTTCCTATGGACGCGAGTGGTCCTGATAGACAGAAAATGTATGCTGCACCATTGCCAGAGTGTGAGACAGTTTCAACAGGGGAAGAGAATGAGTCCCTCCCTGTGTTTGTATGAAATTACCGTTGTGTTTTCTGTTTTGATCAAAACATCTCGGAGCTGGATAAAAACTATGTCTCAACACCAGCAGAACTGCCAATAGGTCCCAGTAGTTTATGTGGAGCTTGGACTGCTCTGGTGTCAAAACCCCTCTCACCACCATACTATTGCATAGCCCCCCCCATCAGAGAAACTCCTGCGTTCTCCACCGTGCAAAAGTGTGCTCTCTCTATTGTTGAGACTCGACACAACAGGCCGGGCTCCTCAGGGCTGGAGAGCTGACATTGCGGAGGTAGTTGTTGTTAGCTTTCTGTGGAGGTGACATAAAGCACACCAATAAGTGATATAGATTTTTGTCTACAATATGAACTTTACTGTCTTTAAAGGAGTGTCCTATGTTTTTAAAATATAGGTGAACAGCTGAGTCTTGGCCTGAAGAGCTGGCTCTTCTGTGTTGTGGCCCTCATCTGTAACAGGAGGTTGTTTAGTTTCCCTGATGTAGAGCTCCGAACACCTCACTGCACTGGACTGCCTGCACCATGCTGCTGAGTTTGTATTTGGCTGTTTCATCCTTAGGGTTAAACCACTTCCTGTTTGAGGGTCCTGTCTGTTTGTTTGTTTCAAATGGATCGTATGTTGTTTTGGGAGGTTTCCTCGGAAGTTCCTCCAAAATATGGGATGCCAATCGTTTTCACCTTAAAACCAGTAGTGTAATGTCAGTTTTCAGGTCCCCTGGTGTAACAGCTTGCACCAACTTGTATTCTGTAACTTGCTGCACTTCTCTGACAAAGATGAGCTTAACATTTTTCTCCAAATCACAGTGGACACAGTAACTCGTGTATTGTCTGTTCCTTCCAGAGTCTTCATGCTCCTGTCCTGCATCGGCCAAAGATCTCTGAGTAACAGTGGTGTTTTAGAGGGCCTCCTCAACCTCCTGGACAACTTGTTGTCTCCACTGCAGCAGCCACAAGCTACCTTTCAACGCAGGACTGAAGGTAATTTTTGTGTGAAGTCGTTATACAAACATACATTAAAGCAAATCAAAGTTGTGACAAAAATGCCTAATGATTATAACCTAATGTATTTGTGAGTAAAAAAAGACACAGTTTGATTTGTTTGTAAATGCTTACATGAACACTGTTGAAGTAGAGGTGCGGTACAGTCATTTGTTGGTGCGTCTTCCAGGTATTTTGGATATTCCAATGATCAGCTGGGTCGTGATGCTGGTTTCCAGACTGTTGGACTACGTAGCCAGTATAGAAGATGAGGCTTCAGGAGGCAAAAAGAACCTTGGAGGGAAGGAACGGGACAAACCTGCATCAGGTATAAGCTAGAATTATGAACCTAAGCTTAATGGTCTTTGGAAGTTGTATATGCTGCTATTTAATGCTTTTTGTTTGTTTTGCAGAATGCATATGTTGATTTGCAGATGAGAAACATTTTCTTTTTAATAGCACATTTTCCTGTCTGTTCTCATTAAGAGTTGCTCTCACAGCTTAACTTTACGAATTTAGTTCTCTTTCTAAATTGACTCTGTGTCTTGCTGTGGGAATCGCCCTTATTGTGACTGACTGGAAGCACCCATGATGTCATGTCTGTCTGAGACAGACTGGTTGAGCTGGGATCGGCGCGCCACTCACATCATACTACCACAGTTAACCGACCAGCGCCCACTCATTTGGGCTTTTTTTCCTGTAAAATTTACAATTAAGCTCCCTCAGCACATTCATGGGAGCTTGGTTAGCTGCTTAACAGTTCTCAGGAGTTTGATAAAGAAATATGTCACATAATGCAGTTCCTGACACTGGTATGGATCATGCTGAATAAGTCTGCGCTTCATGAGAAGTGTCTTAGTTGAATTAAAGAAGCATCACTGTCGAGACGAGTTGTTTCTCCTGCTGCTCAATTTGTTTTTAAACAGCGGTTGCAGGTGTAAATCAAGCTAATGCGTTAAGGCAAGATTGTTTTCCTTTTGGTTTAGCATTAGCTTGCTAGCCAGAAGGTTTATTCTTCAGCTAGCATGTTATGACAACCTGATTTAAATAAAGGTTGAATGAATGGATGATTTAGACAATATGGTTAGCTTGGATTTGACTCCACTGCTAGCACTAGCTGCAAATAAGCTAACGTCATGACGTGCTACATCCTTCATCATGGTTACAGCTGCTACTCCCACCAAAGGGTCGAGCTGAAAGCCAGGGAGGCTGTATCCTGCTTGTGCCTGGCATCATGCAGGACCTCCATATCTACCAGGGACCCTCAGCCAGTTGGTCTCAAACGTGATGTTTTGGAGTTTCCATAGTTGACAATTCCCATATTAAACCCCCTCACTCTTTTATTAAAGAACTAGGGTTTATGTTAAGTAACCCAGTGCTCTCACTGGTTATCTTTCAGCTTTTACATTTCTGATTTTATTTTGTAGGTATTCAGTGGAGTTTCATTAACAACAACCTTCAGTCTCAGAACACAAGCAGGGCAGCTAAAGGTAGCAGTAGCCTGGATCGTCTTTACTCACGCAAACTCCGCAAGCAGCTCGTCCATCACAAGCAGGTAAATGGTTTTCAGTCCAAAACCAGCATAACTTAGCTGTCTTTAAAAAATGTATAATGCAAGAAAATGTCCTGCATATTTAACTAAACACTGCTCTAGTGGAGGTTCTAAAAAACCGCCTGAAATGCTTTTGTACTTTTTGTTAATGATGTTGTTTTATTTGTAGCAGCTAAACCTTTTGAAAGCTAAACAGAAAGCTTTGGTTGAGCAAATTGAGAAGGATAAGATCCAAAGCAACAAAGGTTCCTCCTATAAACTGCTGGTGGAACAGGCCAAACTTAAACAAGCCACTTCCAAGGTGAGTAGTCCACCACACAGTGGGTTTCAGTAAAGTCACTTTTATTTATAATGACCTTGAAAAGCAACAAGTATTGACCAATGTGCTGCAAAATAAAAGATAAAATTTGACCTTGGCCTTGTCCCTCAGTTAAACAAAACTAGCTTTGACCACAGGCTCTGTTCTTGTGAGATAAAGGGGGATACTATTGTTCAGCACATTCAGGGTAACTTAACTTCTAAACAAATGTCAGGAGTTCTGTAAAGAAGTACATTCTTCATTGAGATTAAGAAAGTTAATTAAAAAAACAAAAACAAAAACTTTATTAATCCCAAAGGGAAATTATTTGTTGTTGTAACTCGTTATCCTCATTTCATTAAGAGATGTTATAGATACTGATGGCTGTAGACAGGAAGGATCTCTTGTATAGGTCCATCCCACAGTGGATCCTAAGAAACTGGCTGTAGATGCCGTCCGATCCATCCACCCAGACTCGGCTGGCCTCTCGGTTCCCCTGGGCTGTAGGACCGTCCGAATGCTGGGCAGAACTACTCCCAGAGTGTTGGCCACTCCTCCCAGCAGTCTGCTGAGCTCCTCGTCGCTGTGGACAGCCAACTGTAGGTGCCGAGGGACGATCCTGTCCTTCTGCTGTCATGAGCCGTGTTTCCTGCTAGTTCCAGGATCTCAGTGGTCAGGCACTCGAGCACAGCTGCTGTTGGTTGTAGAAAACTGCCTTGTTGCCATGGTTACGCATCATAACAAATGTCCAAAACTAAAAAAGTTTCAGTAAAAATCCTTCCAGCTGCACAGCATCCAATACCAGAGGAAACAATTGTCCAAAAAATGTGATTTACATCCAGAAAAAAAGGAATTAAAGTTTCCAAAAGCAAAATCTCAGAATGAAATTAAGAGAGCTGCTCCAACATGCAGCCACCTTGAGCGGCGCAATTCTAGAACAAAAGTTAAATGACAAATGTGAAATTAAGTTGTCAGTACATTCCAATAAAGCCTTCAAAGGAGCTGTGGCTGTCTTTTTAGGCTGAAGATTAAATTCTAAATCATTGGTATAATAGTGGAATGAAGTTTCATGTTAATTAAAATGTAATATAATTTTTTTTACAAAAATCACTTTCAAGGATAATTAGTTTTTTTGTGTGTGTAGGTTTTTTCAGCAAACATAAAAAATGTAAATCACATTTTTTATGTCAAAATGAGTTAGTTGTCGTCATTTATCCTTTATTTATGATAAATAAAAAAACATAATTGCACAAATATTAACTGACATGCTTAGTATTGGAGTTAATAATCAGATACAAAAATGTTTTGGAGGATTTTTTGGGTTTCTGACACTATTACATGATTAAACACTCCCCGGGTCAAATTGACCCACGGGCATTATTGCTTTACCTCAGAAACGAACATAACAGGAGGGTTAAAGATGGAACCAGACATGTAAAAAGGGAGAGTTACGGACCGCTGGGGAACCCCACCTCACATTAAATCATTGTACTGATCATACATTTAAAGTGGGGTCTGCTTGTTTAACTCCAGTAACCCTAATGACTTTTTGTTGTTCTTCTTCCAGCACTTTAAAGACTTAATCCGTCTGCGACGAACAGCCGAATGGTCTCGTTCCACGTTGGACGCAGAGTCAACCTCAGCCAAAGAAGCCCCAGAAGTAGAACCTTTGCCCTTCACATTGTCCCACGAGCGCTGCATCTCTGTGGTTCAGAAGCTCGCCCTCTTCCTCCTCTCCATGGATTTCACCTGCCACGCAGACTTGTTACTTTTTGTCTGCAAGGTATTTCCCTCAGCTTGACATCTGTAAGAGCTCTGTACAGAAACTAAATGGTGATTATTATCGTTTTTCATTTAGGTGCTTGCTAGAATTGCAAATGCTACCAGACCTACAATCCACCTGTGTGAGGTTGTGTCTGAGCAGCAGCTGGAACGTCTTTTGCTACTGCTTGTCGGGACAGATTTCAATCGGGGGGACATCTCCTGGGGGGGAGCCTGGGCTCAATATTCTCTGACGTGTATGATGCAGGACATCCTGGCAGGTGCGTTTAATTTACATTCAGTTTGTTGAAGTTTTTGATTGAGAGCTTTTTATCAGCTTAATAAAAATGTTTTTAATTACTGTACATATTGTTGGAAATAGACTAAACCTGAACAGCAAACGTGGCCTTAAACTAGTCCCAACCATTTTTAGGTAAATACCATTCCTTTGTTGTCTCTCAGTGTGTTTTTATTATGTTTTTGTTTAAAGTTGGCTTATCAGCACTCAAAGCAATGTCATTTTAAACAATGAAGACCGGTCTTTCTGCTTTGACTCAGTTTTTGCACTTTTTTATGTTTGATCTTTTTCAGACAAAACCAGAAACGGAGAACTAAACTACCTTACTGTTACTAAAATGCTCTTGATTTAAAAATGTATATTAACATTTATGATCCCTAATCACATCGGAGACGCCCCGAAGCTCTGTACTGTAACCTGAGCTTTTTAAATGTTCCTTTTTTGAGTTGTTTTCTTGTCATTATTATTTAGTTTTGCTTCAAAATGTTTAAAATGGGGAAACATTAGGGCTTTGCTGTTTTGAGAATATCAAACAATATTTTTTGCAAACATAAATATGCATTTAAAAAAATAAGAGTTCCCAAAAGTGACCGTATTTGTTTAGAAGAACAATGAAATTCATTATTTAAACAGAAATATTTAATTTCACATGATCTGTTCTTTTTAACTAATATCACCAGTCATCAGACCATTAAAGTACATGTTATGTAAAAGTCATTTTCACTTGTCCAAGTGTAAAAAGATTGGCTAACTATAACTCTAATATGATAAAGATAATGAGCACGCTCTATACTCAAACTTAAAACAATTAATTAGATGCGTTTTTATAACTGGGAGTCAACATGACCAAGAAGCAGCATTTAATTCAAGGCAGGAAATATATTTGTGGATGTGTTTCAGTTCAGGGCTGAAGATGATGCTTACAGTAAAACAAATTCATTGTTTGGCCTCAGATTTTTTTACTGCTGCAAAGGACTCAACAAATAAATCTGATTTTAAAGGTTAGAGTAGATATTTACAGCTAGGTGTCCGGATAATGTTTTCAGTTATTAGAATGTCTTGCACATTAAAGGATGACAGAAGACTCAAAATCAATTAATATTCAGAATATGTGCAAGTGAGCAATGAATGGACATCCAGCAGGAGAGTGCATCAATTAGAAAACTGTCCACACATGCATCTTACAAAAAATAATATTTGAAAGTCTTTTGGCTTTAGATTAACTGTTGCTCCCATTCCAGGTGAACTGCTGTCTCCAGTTTCTCTGGATGCCATGGATGAGGTGGTGGTTGTGGGTGAGGAGGCTGGAGCGTCGTCCTCCTCGGCAGTGGCAGATTCAGATGACTCTCTGTCCCAGCCAGCTTCCATCCCCCTGGTGGAGAGCATCGACGAGGCTCTGGTGCCTGATATCATCGCAGGTACTACAGGGACCTCTTCAGTGTTTCAAAGTGCGTGGGTAACACAGCACCACACAGGCAATGGTTTAACCCCACACACTTTGTGATAAATAACAGTGTCATGTGGTTTTGGTCATGTTTTCCTCCTTTTGAATAAATTCATGTGCAACACCTTTGTTTTCCCAGTATTAATATTTATTTAGTTAGACTCACCAAGTTGTTGGGTGCTTTTGAGGGATGTTAGATTTTCAATATTGCCTTGTGTAGTTACGATTCGGTAGGTTAAACCTAAAGGCTCCAGTATACTCCCGCGTACGTTCATTCACGCATATGTACGCGTGTACTGTACGCAGAGGGTTCAGACTTCATACTCCAGCGTACACCCCGAACAGCTGCAGAGCAGCTTCACAGACAAGGGGCATTTACCTTCGGGACAAATTGAGGTCGCCGATTGGTCATTTGCTGACACGCCTACTGGATTGATTGACAGGTCGGAAAAAAGAAAAAAAAACGAGTGCTGGCAGCCTCCGCCGCAGCGATGTTCTGTGTTTATATGTTGTTAATAAAAATATCTAAAAAAAAAAAAAAAAAAAAAACCAGAGCGCTGGCTCTACAGCCCACACATCAGACCAGCCCACCAGGAAATCTCCAGACCCTCCTGCAGCCACGCTGGACCTGAGTTTAATTCGCTCGTGACAAATTCCTTAATTTCTCACCATTTCAGTCATGGCATCAACAGAGGAGGAAGAGATCACTGCCTCTTGGCAAAAAACGAAAGAAAAGGCCAGATCAGGGATGAAGAAGGGGAAATTAATACATTGGTGTCGCATACAAAACAGTCTGTCGCTGGGCAGTTAATTGTGCGACACTGCGTACGCGTATGCGGTCGTAAAAATTTGAGCTATGCACAGAGGGTACGCTGGGGGGTACGCACGTACCTCTGCGTACGTACGTGCGTACCTCTGCGTATGGATGTACGCGGCAGTATACTGGGGGCTTAAGTAGGAGTTCAGCCGATTTACTTTTCAAAGAACGTCCTCCCACTCCCCAACTCCCCATCCCCCACCCTCCATATGAAGTAAGGTTTTAGGTTTCAATGGTATTTAAATGACCCATTACTGAATAAATATTTTCTCTTGCTTGACTGCTTGTGCGCTTTCTCTGCAGCAATAAAACTGTTTTTATTATCCAAAGGTGCTCCACCTCTGTCATTTTTGGAAAAAGATAAAGACATAGACTTTGACTTGCTACAAGACCTGATGGATGTTGATATTGATCCTTTAGATATTGATTTGGAAAAAGATCCACTCGCTGCCAAAGTGTTTAAGGTACGTTAAATTTTGACATCCTTTTCTTCTTTCCCTCTTTCTTTGTAAATATTGATATAAAGCCTAAGTATCCATGTACTTTGGGTTGCATGAATATTCATTTATCTTGTTTTTTTTAAATATATTTTGTGGTCTCACCTTTTGGATATTAAATGGATTTTCTATTTGTTTATAAGTAAGGAAGCTAAACAAAATACTCAGTAATAATTAGGGTTAAATAGAGAAAACAAGTTTGTTTCAAAGGTCTTCAAACTTATTTCCTTGAGCTTCACACATCAAGTCACTGAAATTTATATCCCTAATTCATGACAAAACTGCTCCAGCTCTGATTTTGACTTCAATGGTTTCATTCCAGGATATTTAATTCTTTATGCTGTACCAGTGACGTGCTGCTTCTTTAGGGTGTTCAGGGTCAGAGTCCTGCTGGATCGTCTCAAATTTGAAAAAGACTCAACAGATGTTTCCCTTGAGAATTTATTTATCCATCCATCCATCCATTATCTTTACCCGTTTGTTCCAGTTTGGGTCACGGGGGTCGCTGGTGCCCATGTCCAGCAATCACTGTGCGAGGGGCGGGGTACACCCTGGACGCGTCGCAAGTCCATCACAGGGCCACATAGAGACACACGAGACAAACAACCATTCACTCTCTCACTCACACCTAGGGACAATTTAGAGTTACCAATCAGCCTAACATGCATGTTTTTGGTCTGTGGGAGGAAACTGGAGCACCCGGAGAAAACCCACGCATGCACGGAGAGAACATGCAAACTCCACCCAGAAAGTCCCCTGGACCGGGGTTTGAACCAAGGACCTGCTCGCTGAGAGGCAGCAGCTCTACCAGTTGCGCCACCGTGCTGCCCAGAATTTCTTTATATTTTACTCCATTCATCTTTCCTTCCACTCTGACTGGTTTCCCAGTCCCTGCTTATGGAAAACCTCTCCACAGCATGATGCTTTCACCACCGTGCCTTACTGTGGGGACGTGTTCTCAGCATGATGTGTGGTGTTCAAACCATTTTTATTCAAGTCTTGTCTGACCACATCTTTTTCCACTTGTTTGTGTAGGAATTCCAGTCTGCCCGAAACATTTTTAAAGCAAAAGTGTATTTCCTGGAAACTCTTTTCTTAAACCCAGTTATGTGTAGTGTCTCGCAGTTGAATTTTTCAACCCTTTCACTACAAGGCAACATTTCTAACCAACTGTTCTGCCGTTCATCCCAACATTATAAAGTGTAATTTTACAAATAATTTCTGTATACATTTTAATTTGTTCAGGTAAAGGGAAAATAAACCACATAGAGCTAAATAAGTTGGTCATTGAGTATTTGTTTCTTTTTCTCCTCAAGTTTGTCTTCGGTGTTTCTCGTTACAGCCCATCAGCAGCACCTGGTATGACTACTGGGGGGCTGACTATGGCACATACGGGTACAACCCTTACATTGGAGGGGTTGGTATTCAAGGGTCCAAACCTACAGTTGCTGCTGAGAAACCTGGTTCACAGAGTCTGACTGTGTCCGTGTCACAAGGTGAGCACAAGCTTTTTTCATCAACTTTAAACACAAGGAAAATTTTCAGCTATTATTATTATTATTATTATTATTATTATTATTATTATTATTATTATTATTATTATTGTTATTTATTATTATTATTATTACAAACCAGATTCCAAAAAAGTTGGGACACTAAACAAATTGTGAATAAAAACTGAATGCAATGATGTGGAGATGGCAATTGTCAATATTTTATTCGTAATATAACTTAGATGACAGATCAAAAGTTTAATCTGAGTAAATGTAACATTTTAAAGGAAAAATATGTTGATTCAAAATTTCACAGTATCAACAAATCCCAAAAAAGTTGGGACAAGTAGCAATAAGTGGCTGGAAAAAAGAAATTGAGCATATAACGAACAGCTGGAAGACCAATTAACACTAATTAGGTCAATTGACAACATGATTGGGTATAAAAAGAGCTTCTCAGAGTGTCAGTGTCTCTCAGAAGCCAAGATGGTAAGAGGATCACCAATTCCACCATTGTTGCGCAGAAAGATAGTGCAGCAATACCAGAATGGTGTTACCCAGCGTAAAATAGCAAAGACTTTTAAGTTATCATCATCAACCGTGCATAACATAATCAAAAGATTCAGAGAATCTGGAACAATCGCTGTGCGTAAGGGTCAAGGCCGTAAAACTCTACTAGATGCTCGTGATCTCTGGGCCCTTAAACGTCACTGCACCTCAAACAGTAATGCCACTGTCAAGGAAATAACAGAATGGGCTCAGGTATACTTCCAGAAAGCATTGTCAGTGAACACAATCCACCGTGCCATCCGCCGTTGCCAGCTGAAACTCTACAGTGCAAAAAGGAAGCCATTTCTAAGCAAGCTCCACAAGCTCAGACGTTTGCACTGGGCCAGGGGTCATTTAAAATGGAGTGTGGCAAAATGGAAGACTGTTCTGTGGTCAGATGAGTCACGATTTGAAGTTCTTTATGGAACACTGGGACGCCATGTCATCCAGACCAGAGAGAACAAGGATAGCCCAAGTTGTTATCAACGCTCTGTTCAGAAGCCTGCATCACTGATGGTATGGGGTTGTATGAGCGCTTGTGGCATGGGCAGTTCTATGTCATATAGGCTTCGCCCTTTAAGGCTGTCGCTGATGGGTTTATCCCGTTATGCAGAGCATAAGCACTGAAAAAAATTTAGTCCACGCCCACCTGCTGTGTGGGCCCCACCCGGTCCGTATAAATTACGTTAAGAGCGGGAAATCGGCTCCCATTTTTTCTTCAGTGAGCTAATATAGCACTGTCAGAAGAACAAAGAGGATAAATTGTGTAAATGACCAACCTTTGTGAAGGATGCTTGGCCCGGCAGTCGACCTCCGGTCGTCCGGTGAGTTCTCCTCCCCGAGGAGAAGATGACGAGCAGTCTTATTCCAAGGTAAGCGTCGGGGAACATTTCCCAGTGACAGGTCACTACACGCTGGACAACACCATCTTGTATTTTTTCCTCTTATCGCCGACCCTCGGGGCGAACCGGATGGTTCCTCCGGGGCAAGGCGTGCTCAGCTGCAGCCCCCGCTGCTCATTCCCTCCTGGGGAGCGTAGTGTAGGTGGAGGGGGGCTGAGTGAATGCTCACCCCATCCCACCTCGTTTCGCATCGGCGATCACACCGCTCCCGGCCGACAGCGCCCTCACGGTTGCCCGGCGGAACCCAGGAGGAGGCTGACATGAAGGGACCCCTTTTTTCTACGTCCCACGCCTTTTCCCGCCAGTTCGGATGATCGGCGGGAAGGTTGTTTTTCACTGGGCTCCACTGTGGCTCACCGTCTTGATCCATACGGCCTCGCGTTCCAACAGGACGTTCGACGGGCGAGGCCACAGACGGTTCTTTCCTGGTAGATTGGAGGAGTCGGTCCCCAGTCCGCTCCCATCACCAGAGTTGAGGGATTCACCGAGCGGGGCTATTCCTCGGTAACCCCCCTGGAGCCAAGCCTCGCGGAAGCTTTCGGAGCGAAGCTGCCCAGGTCGGAGCAGTGTCCCGTCCCTCCGGAGGAACACGAACCAGACGGCGACCACGCTCTCCAATCTAGCCCACCGATGTGTTTTTCAGGCAGCCGCAGTTAGCAACAACGTGCGCTGCTAGCATATAGCATGTCCAAGGGACTGAAGGCCGCAGACCTGCCTTGGAGACAAAGAACTCCCTCTGTAAGGCAGCTGACGCCAGCTCAACATATGTGCCTCTCCTACGGTTTGCCTGTCGAGGACTGCAGCGCGGATGACGATGATCCAACGATCCACCTGGCTTCGTTACTCCCCTCGCTGCCGGAGAAACTGCACAAGACTTGATGAAGCCCATGGCGGACGCGCTGTTCAGAGCAGCTTCAAACCATGCTGGCGAATTGAAACAGTCGGAGGAGGTGCCAGAGACTGTGCGCCACCTCATCAAGCCGCGCGGCCCATCCCGGCCCGCTGGAGGGACCGTCGCGAGCAAGCTTCGACTTTTCCACGGCCGCGGCTCTCGCTGAGTTCCACCATCAGCCCCGCCCGTCAGAATCCAGCCCTCTTCATTCCGGCAACCTGCAGCTCAGCGTTTCCCCAGAGTTCGCCTGCAAGACAGCGCTCTAGGCAAACAATCGCAGAGCTCATGAGAGAGAAGTTTCTCAAAATGACGGTCTCCGGAGGGTGTGTGTAAAAGTGACACGAAAGTTGAAATAAATCATCATTAATGATCAAAGTGTCTGTTTTTTAGCCAGTCTGTAAGCTCGGATGAGCTCACAGCGGCCGCACACATTAAGAGCCGGTGTCCTTAATAAGGTTTTTTAAACTCACCGCCGCTCCAAGACATTACTAGTCGCTTACAGGGCACGATGGTAAGTGAAAATAACTCGTTATAATCCCGAGCTGCACGATTTTCACTCAAGCGATGTCAACTTGCACTCGTGGGATGAGACAGCCCCCACACACGAGCCGGTGTCCTTAAATAAGGTTTTTAAACTCACCGTCGCTCTAAGACATGACTAGTCGATCACAGAACAGCCTCCACACATGAGCCGGTGTCCTTAATTAAAGGTTTTTAAACTCACCGTCGCTCTAGACATGACGAGTCGATCACGGCACAACGGTAAGCGAAAATAACTCGTTATCAACTAGAACTGCACGATCCTCACTCAAGCGGTGTCAACTCGCACTCGTGGGATGGAACAGCCTCCACATGAGCCGGTGTCCTTAAATAAGGTTTTTAAACTCACCGCCGCTCTAGACATGACGAGTCGATCACAAGGATGAAATAGCCTCCATCCAACGGCGCTGCGTTGATGCTGGCGCACACACACAGCTGCCCGGCGCTAACCAGCTCACATCGGTATAAATGTGGTCCGCAGGCTGGTTCGGGTGGAGGTCCTTCTCTCTCACAAGAAGCGACACCCGTCTCAACGAATCAAACGCGGGCAGCCGTCACCCACCGCGTCTCAGCGTTCGGCAGCTCACCGCAGCTTAAACGTGAAGCAGCTGAAAGAACCCGGTAATGAGTCCCGCCTCCCTCCAGCGCGCGCCCCTCCAGCGAGAGCGGCGCGCGTCCCTCCAGAGAAAAACGTGTGCTCCCGCGGGGCTAGCAGCCTTCACTCCAACAGCACGGCGTTAATGAAGTCACGCCCTCCGCCTTTTCAACGTTCGCACAGCGACGTCAAACGCGCAGCCCCACCGCGTCATCAGCTGTCACACACTTCGCCTCAGCACAAGCCTCGCCCTGGATCACACAGAAAACATTCCCGCGACGCATGACGGCGGTTGAGGGGCGGACTGCTGACAGCCGTACAAAACGTGACACATCACTTAACGCACGTTCACCCTACGAACGTTACGTAGAGTGGCTAAAACATGCTCGCCGTTTTTCAGATGGATGGACAAGGTTTTATGCAAATGGTACAAGTTACAGTTTGCAACCCGAACCCCTCCATTCAGAGGAGTTATAAAAACGGTCCCGTCATCATCAGACTAAATCTCATCCCTAAATGTAGAAGTCCAAGTGTTTCTGATAAAAGTAATCTACAGAGTCCCCCAACGGAGAGAAAACACAGGGTTTTTACTCACGGATCGGAGGGGTGAGACCGTTTTTTGGATCTGTTGTATAACATCCAGAGAACGCATACCGATCATCCTAACACAGAGACGAGAGTTTTTTGTTTTACCTGGATGATCTGCTGCTCCTGTCACTCCAGACAGGAGGCGCTGATGCAGGATCAGGTGTTGACATCACACCTGTTAAATCTGGGCTTCGCCATAAATTGGAAAGAAGCTCGATTTTCCCGGCCCAGACATTTGTTTTTTCTGGGAGTGGAATTAAATTCAACCACCATGAAAGCTCGTTTATCACAAAACTAGATTCGACACTTTTTTAAAGTCAACTCAGCCACGTAAGACCTGGCAAGTGATAACAGCTGTCTCCGTCATGAAGCTGTTGGGAATGATGTCACTCACACAGTGGTTCCGCTGGTTTGTTACACATGAGACGCCTCCAGAGGTGGTTTTGCACGTCTGCATGTGGATCCAGTAAAACAAAACGACGGATGATCATTGTCCCTTCCTCTGTGAGAGCAGACCTCCGACTCTGGGGAAACACCTTGTTTCTGTCAGAGGGAGTCCCCCTCAGCAGACCCACGTCACACGGGTCAGTCTTCACGGACGCGTCGCTGTCAGGCTGGGGGGGGGGCATGCCTATCTCAAGCAGTAGGGGCGCTGTGGCCCCACTACACATCAGCCCACATCAATGTTTTGGAGTGTCGCACAGTACTGAATATGATTCAACACTTTGCTCCCGTGCTACAGAATCAACACGTGTTGATTCACACAGACAACATGATGACTGCTGCGTACATAACCATCAAAGGGTGTGCGTTCAGCCCAGATGTTACACATTGCGCGAAAGCTACTGTGTTGGGCTCATCAAAACCTGCTCTCTATTAGAGCGGTTTACATATCCGGTGTTCTGAACAGAGGGGCAGATGTGATGTCCAGGGGCGGCCCACGTCACGTGGACCAGACCCTCCATCCAGATCTGATGTTTTCAGACGTGGCAGAAGTTGGCAAAGCAGCTGTGGACCTGTTTGCGACGCGAGAGAACGCTCAGTGTCAACTATGGTTTTCCCTGAGCCCGCGAGACGATCCATCGCTGGGGGGGGACGCATTTGCTCACAGCCCGTGGCCCAAAACGCTTTTGTACGCGTTTTTTCCCCAACCTCCTCTGTTTTTACGGTTCCTGAACCGAGTTCAGGAGGAGGGATTGACAGCTCTCCTGGTGGCTCCCGAGCGTGTGAACGCACCATGGTTCCCAGGCCTGCACCGTCTGTTGTCGGGTCGCCGTGGAACTGCCGTGGAGGGAGGATGCTCTCCTTCAGGCAGGAGGAGCGATCAAGAGTTACCCAGAAATAGGTCAGCACCTGTGGGTCTGACCGCTGAGCGGTCCCACTTAGAGAGGATGGGTCTCCCTCAGGAGATAGTGTGCACAATTCAAGATTCACGTGCTGCATCTACCACAGTTCTGTACACATCAAAGGGGACGGCTTTTCAGCGCTGGTGTACAGAGAAAGGTTCAGAGGCCACCTCATGCCTTTTAGGCGGCGTGTTGTCTTTCTACAACAGCTGATGGATAGGAAGTTGGCATTCAGTACGCTTTAACGTACGTTGCAGTCATCTCTTCCTGCCACGAAGGTTTCGGAGACAGAACAGCTTTTAATCACCCGCTGATGAAGCGTTTTTCTAAAAGGTGTTCAGAGACGCAGGCCTGCTTCACGTCCACTTGCTCCACAGTGGGATTTAACGCTGGTCCTGCGAGTCCTGATCAAAGCTCCAATTGAGCCTCTGGATCAGGTTTTCACTTAAAATTCTTGTCTCTTTAAACAGCCCTGCTGCTGGCTTTAACACCCGCTAAGAGGGTAAGTAATTATCTGCCCTCTCTGTTGCTTCGTCATGCCTTAGAATTTAGGCTGACGGGCAGCTCAGCTGATTTAAGACCAACCCAGCTTTTATGCCTAAAACATCACGAGCTCTTTTAAATCAAGAGTGATATCGTTGGAGGGGTTTCTTCCCCCCCACAGATCAGAAGAGGAAGCATCTTTTCATCTTCTCTGCCCGGTGCGGGCGTTGACGTGTTACATAGCGCGCACAGCTGCAATGCGTTTCAAACTCAACAATTGTTTGTGCATTATAGAGATGCTTCTGCAGGTCGCCCGTTATCCATCCAGCGCTTGTCACACTGGCTGTGTGAGGTTTTTTCTGAAGCCTACAGAGCATCAGATTTAGAGCCTCCTGTCAACCTCTAAGCACACTCGACCAGGGGTATCGCATCTTGGACTGCTCTGCATAATGGTATGTCAATGCAGGACATATGCACTGCGGCTGCATGGTCAACACCCTGCTCATTTATTCGCTTTTACCTACGTGATGTAACGGTTCGTTCCATGACACATTCTGTCCTTAGTGCTCTAACAGAATGAATATTATTGTTCTCATGGAACTCTGTTTAAGCTCACATCTGTCTGCATGCATTACAGTGTGAGATGTTATCAGTCACAAGTCATGTCTGTGATTTTGGTTCTATTGTCACTAATCAGTTCATGATTATTGTTACCAATCAGTTCATTTGATCAATAATCAATTCATGGACATTAATCTGTTTATACTGTTCAGCCATGAACCAGTTGGTTTATGTCCCCCCCCCCCCCCCTCTTTTCAACTTCTTCTTCCCATTGAAAGTTTTCCAGGGCATTCATGCTTTGTCAGAACGCATAGTTACACAACATGCGTCTGTGCATGGCACATAATTACGCGATGCGTAGTTATGCACACGGGGAGCTGAGTGACAAGACGTTTTTTGGGCAAGCTTCCGCTTCTTACTGTGTTCGAATGGACCCAGTGAGGCGAGGACCACATCCGCTTCGCCCTTAACCCATCAGCGACAGCCTTAAAGGGCGAAGCCTATATGACATAGAACGTTGGTTACGTACTGTAACCCCAGATTCTATGAATATAGGCGTAGCCCTTTAAGCGTCGGGCCTCACTGGCTCCTAAATGGCTGAAGAAAAAAGCTATTTTGGGAGCCGATTTCCCGCTCTTAACGTAATTTATACGGACCGGGTGGGGCCCACACAGCAGGTGGGCGTGGACTAAATTTTTTTCAGTGCTTATGCTCTGCATAACGGGATAAACCCATCAGCGACAGCCTTAAAGGGCTACGCCTATATTCATAGAATCTGGGGTTACAGTACGTAACCAACGCTTGCATGTCTGGAAAGGCACCATTAATGCAGAGAACTATGTTCAGGTTCTAGAACAACATATTATCCCATCTAGACGTCATCTCTTTCAGGGAAGACCCTGCATTTTTCAACACGATAATGCCAGACCACATTCTGCAGCAATCACAACATCATGGCTACGTAGGAGAAGGATCCTGGTACTGAAATGGCCAGCCTGCAGTCCAGTTCTTTCACCTATAGAGAACATTTGGCGCATCATAAAGAGGAAGGTGCGACAAAGAAGGCCCAAGACGATTGAACAGTTAGAGGCCTGTATTAGACATGAATGGGAGAGCATTCCTATTTCTAAACTTGAGAAACTGGTCTCCTCTGTCCCCAGATGTCTGAGTGTTGTAAGAAGAAGGGGGGATGCCACACAGTGGTAAAAATGGACTTGTCACAACTTTTTTGGGATTTGTTGACGCCATGAAATTTGGAAACAACAGATTTTTCCCTTAAAATGATACATTCTCTCAGTTTAAACTTTTGATCTGTGATTTGTGTTCTATTCTGAATAAAATATTAGATGTTGGCACCTCCACATCATTGCATTCAGTTTTTATTCACAATTTGTTTAGTGTCCCAACTGTTTTGGAATCCGGTTTGTGTTGTTGTTGTTGTTGTTGTTGTTGTTTTGTATCTAACCTGTTGATCCTCTGCTGTGGTGCTTTGCAGCACTGGATGCCCGCCTTGAAGTGGGCCTCGAGCAGCAGGCGGAGCTGATGCTAAAAATGATGGCAACGTTACAGGCTGACTCCATCCTACAGGCTCTCAGTTCAAGTTCCTCCACAAGTAAGCAGGAAAATGTTCATTTAGCATACTAGACTGAGTGGGAGTGGCAGGTAAAGCATGTGATTTTACTTTTTACCATGAGCTTTCACACAACAACTGTCCCTTTGATGGGGCCTCATAAACATAGTTTTATTTATTTAGAATTTCTCTTTATTTTTATCTGAATGTTGTTTGTCTTGTCACCTATTTTACTGTGTTCTAGTCAACTGTGTGTCACTTAAATACTTTTCTAAAAGTTTTTGTAGAAGTTTTTCTTAGTCGTACACATTGTTCTGATGTAGTTTTTGCTCAGACCTTTGTATTTAGCATTTGTTTGGATGCCGTGGTAGACCTCTTTGCTTCAGCTTTTTGTAAACTCTGGGCAACCTGAGCCACTCCCATCACATCCCATCAGGCAGACAGGAGCTGCAGTCAAAATGTGGTTTCTCAGTTATTAGGAAAGTCGTTGTAAAGAATGAAAAACTTGTTGTAAATACAGTTCTGTTTCTAACGGTGCTCCATGTTTCACTATGGTAAATGCTCCAGCGTGACCAACATTTTATTTTCCTCCCTGGCTCTCATCGAGGTGGCTGCTTTTGTCTTTCCTCCCCCGTTTTTCCTTCCTCCTGCTCTGCTCTCTGTGTGTCTGTGCCTGGTTCACATCTCCCGAACGTAAATTAAGAAGATTATGGATCTGGTATCCTGGACGTTCAACTCTATTGATAAGATTTTTTCATCAAAGCGACAAGGCCCTAGAGAGCCGGCGTGTCCAGCTGAGACTCACGCTGTGGGGTACGTCACGGATCCGTGGGGTGTGTGGCAGTTGATGTGCCTCTCAGTTCTGTCTCAGGAGGATGTCGAAGACGTTTACATATTTGGATTTATGATAGCAGGGACTCTGCTTTTTGGCATCGGCAGGGCTCTGTTTTATCTACTTTTGAAGAAGACATCGGCAGCAGTTAACCGGCCATGGAAAAGCTTCCGAGTCAGTGAAGGTTTGGTCCGTGTTGTAGGAACTCTAAATCAACTGGTTTATGAGCGAAACCATAAGGTGGAGGCGATTTATGAGAATCACAAGCAGCCTGCGGCTTCTGGGACTCGTCAGCGTGGTGGGTTTGACCTTGAGGGAGACTCATAGCATGGATCAGTGGAATGCATTCCCACAATTAGCCCATTTTGGAAACAGAACATCCAGATGGACTCAAGGCTGAAGAAAAAAAATCTGTCTGCCTGAAGAAAAACAACAATCAAGCTTATCTGAATCTGACTCCCGACGGCCTCGGAATGGGTCGACTATCAAATCAAATTTCTCCTGGGTCATTGGTAACCAAGGACAAAAGCTTCATCTATTGCACACACCCCCCCCCCCCCCCCCCCCCCCGTCCCTTCAATTCAATTCAGTTTATTTTTATAGCACCAAATCACAACAAAGTTGTCTTCAGCTGCACAGACTGGCCTGGGAGTTGAGGAAGAAGTGGTCGGTTGACCGCGATAATATAATGAGAATAATTAGCAACTTCTCGGCTAAACGAAGGCTAAAAAGTGCCAGGAGCAGCGAAAATCCTTTTTACTGCACATCTGAAATGGCACAGAAAATCTTCCAACAAGGTGTACCTGTAGAAAAAGTCTGCGAAGATTAAAGTCCCTTGCAAAAGAGATCTGTGATCTCAATGGGATTTGCCTGGTTAAATAAAGGTTAACAAATAATTAAATAAAGGCCAATAAATACTATGATCTTATTCCAACAAGCTGCTCCTACTGTGCTACAGTTCTCAAATTTTAGTTTGTTGGAGTTTCAAGTAAAAAACTAGTCCACCCACCTGACAAACACAGTCATTGTTCCCCCCTCCTCACGTAGGAGGCTGTGGAGCATCAGGTGCCTGACGAGCACATTGAGAAACAGCTTCTGCCTAAAACAACGAGGCTTCTGCTTCCTGACGGAGCCCTATAGCACTGCTTCTATCAGTGCATCCATTGTACAGTTTCAGACTTGGGCACATCTGTTACTTTCCACAGTTCTGTCATGCCTCTTTTTACTGTTGTGGTGCTTTATATTTCTTCTTTGCTACTTGTCATTTGATTTAGCTTGTTTCTTGTTTTTTAGTTGTTGTTTTTTTCTTCTGTTTTGTTACCTATTAATCCCCAGGATCTTGAAACATAGTTTAATTAGTAATGTGAAAGGGTATATGGTATGACGATAAAGAATCTTGAAACTGATGACAGTCAAACTAAATTATGACTTCCAGTAAACCAGCCCTCCAATGGAACTGATGACTCCCTGCTCCGAGCTCTCCACTGTGGGGGCTCTTCTCCAGTTGGCAGCCTGATGGTCCAGCCCTCCTCCATCCCTATTCTGAGTTCGTGCTTCAACAAGCTTTTCTCCATGCTGCAGGTCCACCATGTACAGGTCAGCTCCCTCACATCCGATGACCTGATTTGCACAAACTCCAAGCTTACTGCTTTTTGTTTTGTAATTTTATTTTAAGATCAATTAAATACATTCAGTAGAGCTTAATTAAAATATGTTATGCTGAATTACTGACTATGTTTACATGGACATAAGTAATCGGATTAAATGGCCATTCAGAATAAAAATGCATCATGTAAACGCCCCATTCAGATTATTCTGAGCTGATTCAGCTTAATCCAAAATAATTTATCAGAATGAGACCGGTGGTTTATGCTGATTCATAATCTGAATGGTGTGCATTTAAACACTTAATCTGATCTTTTTTTTTTCCCTCTCTTGGAAAAACTGACCTGACTGCGCATGTTTGACCCGTGTCATTTCCACCTGGCTAGATGCTAATAACATTAGCATGTCAGGGAAGTAAAACTGGTCAGTGAGCGACACAACATTTCTACTAGAAACTTTGAAAGAGCTCAAAATAATCTGTATCACCTGTAGCTCAATCAGGGAGTGCAGTAACGTCTCCACCGTCATTAAAACCTGTTGCGGGTCCATTTTGGGCGCTCAAGTGTGTTTATGTTCATCAGGGAAGTAGAACTTCTTCTGTGTTTTTTTTAAGGAGAGTTTACCATTCCGCTCATGTCAGTACTGCTGTTCAGAATAAAAACCCGCTGCATGTAAATGCTCGTCGTGATCGAATTGTGCCCATGTAAACGATACATTTGGATTAATTAATCCGAATACATTTCAATCCTATCAAAGCATTTTGTGCATGTAAACATAGCTACTGGGACTCTCTTTAACAAAGGAAGAAACCATAAAGAAACAACAAAACATTTTGTATCATTTGAAGAAAAAACTTGTAAAACTGCCAAACTAAACTGTTGTAGTAAGTTAAACGACAGTTCTGTGAACAAAATAAAAGCATAAAGGAAGAATGTTGAAAATGCTTCCTTCTCCCCCAGCTCGAGTCGTTGCTGCAGCTGTGGTTAACACTCAGCCTCAACACGTGTTCTGGTGGCAGTGAAGAAAGTGGATCAGATATTTTCCTGTTTAATGCCAGCCGAGTGCCCACCATCCCACTCAACCAAGGTACGGGCTACTGATGTGGACCTGTCAAACTTTACTTTGTGAAGTTGCTCTGTTTTGTACTTATTCCTGCCTCTGTCTGTACATTCAGCATCCATCAGCAGTTTCCTGTCTGTGCTGGCGTGGTACCCCAACACTTCCTTGAGGACCTGGTGTCTGGTGCTACACTCGCTCACTCTCATGACTAACATGCCAGCTGCTGGTTAGTGTTGTTGTTTTATAATATACACACAGCAAAATCCACATGACCTGCCAGCAACAAGTCTCACATGACGTGTTAAAGACACAATATCTGAGCCAAATCTCATAAACTCTGGTTCAAACATACACATTAATGTTCACGTTTAATAAGAAGTGAGTTTATAGACAGGATTGGTTAAGCTCTGTATAATGTGTGAAGCTTTTCATTGATATTAAGCAGTGTAGATCTCTCTCAGGGCAGGAAATGTTTGTCATATTTTGGGCAGATTTTGGCCTTTTTATTTATTTCCTGTATACAGCTTTCAAAACTGTACTTTAGAAAGTGCACATTGTTTCCTTGCCCACATTGAGATTCTTTGTCATTTGCACTACGTGTGGTACATGTGGTGGAACGAAATTATGTACACAGGGTCCCAGTTACATCTAACAATAAAATGTAAAAGAAAAACACTAATTGTATCTGCTTTGTAACCACCTTGCCAGCCATCCACCACATTTATGATTTAATTTACTGGAGTACTTTTTAAATTGAAAAGAGAGAATTTTCTAAAATATTTTCTCTTTGGTTTATTTTCTGATCTTTTCAGTCACAGTAGAGTTCCTATTCCAGTGTCATAACACAACTCTAGTGTTCTTTACTACGTACCGCTGCACCACATCCACCACTTCTTGGGTTGATTTGTGAGGCTGAGTGATTTTGTCTGTGATGTGTGCTTAAACTTGCAGCAACCAGCAGTGGGATGAGCTCTCAGGAGAACACAGCTCAACAGATGGTCTCCGACCCCAACATGGTTCATGTGCTGGTACGCTTTCTGTCCAGCAGCAGCACCAACGGAACAAGCCAGCACAGCTCTCAGGTGGGACCCACTGCTACCCAGGCTATGCATGAGTTTCTAAGCCGGCTGCAGGTCCACCTGTCCTCCACCTGTCCCCAGATGTTTAGCGAGTTCCTGCTCAAACTCATGCACATCCTGTCAACTGAGAGGTAACTGTAAATAGTTGTTAGTATGTGATAGTAGAGTCAGGTGTTTTGACAGGAATAATAGAAGGTAGGATGAGTAAACACTGATTTTCTGATTCATCAGGGGTCCATTCCAGTCTGGTCAGGGTCCACTGGACGCTCAGGTGAAGCTCCTGGAGTTTACGTTGGAGCAAAACTTTGAAGTGGTGTCAGTGGCTACTATTTCCTCTGTCATTGAGTCTATCACGTTCCTGGTTCATCACTACATCACCTGCTCAGACAAGGTGGTCTCCCGCAGCGGCTCGGACAGTTCAGTGGGTGCCCGTGCCTGCTTTGGGGGTCTATTCGCCAACATCATCCGACCAGGAGACATTAAGGCTGTCTGCGGAGAAACCACTCGCGACCAGCTGATGTTCAACCTTCTAAAACTGGTCAATGTGTTGGTGCAGCTCCCTCTGTCTGGAGACAGGGAGTTCAGTGGACGACTGCCGCCGGTCGGCAGCGGGACAGCTGATAGCAGCGTGTCGGACGAAGAGAAGGTCTGTGGCAGCAAGGAAAGCGTGGCTGGTGGATCCACTTCCAGTCATGGTCCTGCTGCAGGTGTGGCTGACTTAGTGCTGGCCAATCAGCAAATAATGAGCCAGATCCTGTCCGCACTGGGTCAGTGCAACAGTAGTGCCATGGCCATGATCATAGGTAAGACATGTTTTACTTAACTTGTATGATTTTGAATTAAATAATTTTCATACAATGGGGGGCATGGAGTTCAAAAATACAGAATTATCTGTAAATATTAAGGAAGATATAAAGTAATTATCAGGATAAATCAATATTTCTTCACACCTGTGTGTGACCTCTAGGTGCCAGTGGTCTCCACCTTACCAAACACGAGAACTTCCACGGTGGTCTGGATGCTATCTCAGTGGGCGATGGCCTCTTCACCATCCTCACCACTCTGAGCAAGAGGGCCAGCTCAGTCCAGGTCATGTTACAGCCCATCCTCACATACATGGCCTGCGGTTACATGGGTAGACAGGTAAAAATCAGTAGACCTTACTGACACATTTCTTTAGAAAGAAAAAGATGGAACAGTGTCAACTATTGTGTAACTGTGTTTTGTAGGGGTCTCTGTCCACCTGCCAGCTGTCTGAACCACTTCTGTGGTTTATCCTCCGAGTACTGGACACCAGTGAAGCTCTGAAGGCTTTTCACGATATGGGTGGGTGTACACTCAGAAATCACTTTAATTTATCATCTATTTAAATTCCAAAATAGTGTGCTGTATTTATATATTGGCATATATTCTCATTCTGAACAAAAGCAAAAGTCTTGTAAAACTTTTGTTGCAACGTTTTTGTTGCTGTAAACATGAAAGGTAGCGGCACACACATGTTGAATAGGGTAGTAATCAAGGATTCAAGGTTCTTTGTCATTCCACCACATGTGGTACATGTGGTGGAATAACATTTTGTACACAGGGTCCCAGTTACATCCAACAAAAGTATAAAATGTAAAAAAAAAAAAAAAAAAAAAAACCGACCAGTAATAAGATCCAAAATATGAACTAAGAAAAACTTTAACTAAAAATACGCTAACCACTAATACAAAAACAGTATGCTGAACAGCAGCACGAACATGAGTCTGTGTGAGCAGATGAGCACACATGAACACAGCAACATGAAACAGACCAGCAGCAACATGAAACAGATCAGCAGCAACATGAAACAGGTCAGCAGCAACATGATGTGGTTTTTCATAGTGATTATTCTGGTTAGAGATTCTAACAGCTTCAGGGTAGAAGCTGATCCTCAGAGTAGTGTTTCTACACTTAATGCTCCTCAACCTCCTTTCTGAGGGGAGCCGGGCAAAAAGTGTGTGTGCTGGGTGAGTGGGGTCCTTCATGATGCCGGTGGCTCTCTTCCTGCATCTGGAGGTGTAGATGTCTGTGATGGTGGGGAGGCTGACTAAAGGCATAAACTTTTTAAAAATTAAAATTGGGACTTTTTTTTGTCATGATTCATATTCTAAAGAATTACCATAATTAGAATATTGTTTTACAAGTACATTTGAAATTGACTGCAACTTAAAGTGATACATAGTATTTTAGCCATTTTTAGTGTGTTTTTAATTTAAATATTTAATATCTTAACCTGTTGTAGATATCTCTTTGAACAACTTCAGTGTGAAGACGGAGTTTACATTTCAACATTTCACAGAACTGACGAGATAAGTTAGTTGTAATGCAGCAAGGACCAAGTGGACTGCTGCCATCGTTAAACAGCTCCAGTCCCAAAGATGTCATTGTGGTTCATGAGTCAGATTTCATAAACCTTCACACTGCCATCACTTTACACATTTATTTATATAGAATTCACTGATTGTTTGAAGTTCAAATAACGGCAGCTGCTGTGAGAGGTATCATCCAGGTGTCATCTCTAGCAGACAAAATTAACATTTACATAAAAGAATTGTTGAATTTTGGATTACAGTAATGTACTTTAGAAGTGGGTCTGCTCAAACGGCCATTTGAGCTTGTTGACATGGTTTGAATGGACTCACTTCCAAAACAGATACAACTTTTTTAAACAACTCCTGCTATTTACACTTGTATATAATCATAAAATTCCTTGTAAATAACCACATAATGAAAAATTGACAGCAGTAATAAAGTTTACAAAATTATTTGTATAGACCAAAAGAAAACGTTTGAGATTAGGTAGTTTAAGGAGGTCATGGTGGCAGTGATCTACTATGGTCTTATCTGTATTTACTCATCTTTTAGCTTGTCCGCTCAGTCATTTTTATTTTTTCAAACTGAGCCTGTTTAAACACCCCTCATGTTTAATGTGTAAGATATGACTTATTTTACAGTAAGTCTTACCCAGAAACCCACTCCAGTGCTGCCAACCTATTTAAGTATTTTCCTTATGTTAGTTTAAAAGCAGAGGTGCACAGATTTAAATAAGAACCTTTCTTTTCTCTCTTCAGGTGGTGTACAGTTGATTTGTAATAACATGGTAACGAGCACCAGAGCCATTGTGAACACAGCACGCAGTATGGTGTCCACCATCATGAAGTTCTTGGATTCAGGTCCTGGAAAGACTGCAGATGGGAACCTTAAAGCCAGAGTGATGACTTCAGAGCCAGACAATGCAGAGGGACTGCACAACTTTGCTCCTTTAGGTTCTTAAATTTCTTGACGTTTCTGAAGTATTATTTGTTTTTGTTCTTGTGTGAAGGAAGAATGGAGTGTGAGACTGACACATGATTAGTGCAGCTTAGCGTACAACAACATTTATGTGTACAATAAGATCCACAAGTGTACCACAATTTTTACAAATGCACACAGCGAGACACAAATGCATAAATAGTTCATCAAATCTACACATTTCAAAACACACGAGTAGGAATATTCTGCCATACAAATGTTCAAATACATTTGTACAAATCTGCTGTGGACAAATCCGTCAAGACGAATGCACGGATCAGCTTGCCTGTGAATGTGACCTTTTTTTTTTTTTTTTATAAAAAAAAAAAAATTAAATGTATTCTCTGTTTACTGGTCGGTCTATGTTCCTGCCTTCACCTATGGTCACAAACTGGGGTAGTGACTGAAATAATCAAAGACTTTCAAAATAATAACATTATCTGAGACATGGTTAAACGATGAAAATATGAATAATGCTTTCATTGAAGGGTATAAGTTACATCATATGAACAGAAAAAACAAAAGAGGAGGTGGAGTGGCTATATTTATAGACAATGAAATCAAATGCAAATTGATAAGCGAAATGTCAATAATGGTGGAAGATATGTTGGAAATGATAACAATAGAAATAATAAAAAATAATACAAAGAACATCATAATAAGTTGTGTATCTCGATCGCCATCCTCAAATATTGAGCTATTCACTGATAAACTATTGGAATTATTAGAAAAAAGTAAAAATAAAAAAAATTTTCTATGTGGAGACTTCAATATTGACCTAGGAAATATCACTGATTCAAACAACATAAGTATATTCATAAATGCAATGTATAGTCTAAATCTTTGTCCATTAATATCAAATCCTACAAGAATTACAACTCAAAGTGCTACTATAATTGATAATATTTTCACAAATGTAACAGACGGTGATATGCTGAGTGGCATCTTGAAGACTGATCTTAGTGATCACCTACCAGTCTTCACTATTTACAAGAAAGAAAATGGTATAATTAAAACAACTACAAGAAAAAACAAAAAAATTAACACGTCAAAAAAAGCATTAGACAAATTAACAGCTGAGTTGGAACATCAAAAATGGGATAATGTGTACATAAATGATGTGAATAAATCTTATGATGAATTTATGACAATTCTAGAGGTCATCTATTATAAACATTGTATGCAAATGAATTACACTAAGAAAAACAAAGTGGATTATCCATGGATGACCAAAGGATTAAGAAATGCATGTAAAAAAAAGAATCATTTGTATTCGTGTTTTTTGAAATCAAGAACCAAGGAGGCTGAAGAGAAATACAAAAAATACAAAAACAAATTAGTTAGTATCATAAGGAAACACAAGAGGGAATACTATAGTAAATCATTGCATGAATGTAAAGGTGATATGCGCACAACATGGAGAGTAATGAATACTGTTTTAAAAAAGCATAAAGAGAGAACGGGACTTTCACAACATTTTGTGGAAAACGATGTGGAAATCTATGAAAATGATGAGATTGTCAATGGATTTAATAATTATTTTGCAAATGTTGGGTCTTGTCTAGCAGCTTCGATTCCTAAAGTGGAAAAAAATTTAAGTTATTTAAGAAATGGTTGTGTTGACAGTATGTTCTTGAGTGGAACAGATAAGGAGGAAATAATGAAAGTTGTCAAAAAATTTGCTGATAAAAGATCAAAGGATTGTGAAAATATGGATATGGTGGTTGTAAAGGAAATAATGAGTTATGTGATTGAGCCATTACATCTGTAATTTATCATTTTCAAAAGGAATTTTCCCAGATAGAATGAAGGTTGCTAAGGTAGTTCCTCTTTTTAAAAATGGTGACAAATGTACATTTTGTAATTATAGGCCTATATCTCTATTACCACAGTTCTCTAAAATTCTTGAAAAATTGTTTATGACTAGATTAGATAAATTTCTTGAGAAAAATAATATTTTAAGTAATAATCAATATGGTTTTAGGTCAAACTGTTCAACATCTTTGGCTCTCATGGAGTTGATAGAACAAATTACTACAGCGGTTGATCAAAAACAACATTGCATAAGTATATTTGTGGACTTAAAAAAAGCATTTGACACAATCGATCACACCATTCTGCTTGATAAATTGAATCATTATGGTATTAGAGGTCCTGCTTTGCAGTGGATAAGCAGTTATTTGAGAGATAGAAGACAGTTTGTTCAAATAGATGAAGTAAAATCTAATTTGTGCAGAACTCCATGTGGTGTACCACAAGGTTCAATACTTGGACCTAAATTGTTTATATTATATGTAAATGACTTAATTGAAGTATCTGATATCTTCAAATGTGTTTTGTTTGCTGATGACACTACTTTTTTCTGTCTGGGTAAAGATATGGAACAATTAATTGAGTTGATAAACAAGGAATTTGTAAAAATACAGGATTGGTTTAAATCAAATAAGTTATCATTGAATATTGATAAAACTAATTTTATGGTATTTAGTAAAAAAAAAAGATAACTTTGGATTTTTGTTTCAAAATTGATGGCATTAAAATATGTAGAGTAAATGAAGTAAAGTTTCTGGGCGTAATCATTGATGATAAACTATCATGGAAACAACATATAAATTTTGTAAAAACTAAAATATCAAAGTCCAGTGCAGTATTATATAGAGTAAGGGACTTGTTAAATAATGAAGCTTTACATTTACTTTATAATACAATTGTAGTCCCACATTTTACTTATTGTGCCAATGTTTGGGGTACAGCATGTAAATCCACAACAAGGCCTATATTTATTCTGCAAAAAAGAGCAGTAAGAATTATAACAAGAAAGAGTTATTGTCATCCTTCTAATGTTCTGTTTAGTCAATTGAAATTACTTAAGTTTTATGATTTGGTGGATTATAATATTCTTTTACTTATGTTTAAGGCCCATAATTGTTTGCTGCCATCAAACATTCAAACATATTTTGTAAAAAGGACGAGTGGTTATAATCTAAAGGGATCAGAGATCTTTGTAAAACCTAAGTACAGAACCAGTTTGAAGGGACGCTCTACGACCATACATGGAATAGGTTTATGGAATAATTTGGAGGATGATGCAAAAATGGAGAAGTCAATTTTTACATTTAAGAAAAAGATAAAAACTATTTTGTTGGAAAAATATAAACAACTGTTTGTCTAATTATTTTAAATGTAAAATCTGTTTGAGTTATCTACGTTGTTGCAATATTGTGATTGACCTTTTGTTTGAATTGATAGTTAAATTGATCTGTTAAAGAAGGAGCAGATTTGATAAGAATTTTTTTCTTCTTCTGCTTCCTTTCATTTTATGTTTATTTTTTTAAATTATCTAAATTGTATTTGTGTGTTTTTTTTTTAATGGAACTGAAATGAATGAAATAAATAAGTAAATAAATAAATAAATTGTGGATACAGGCAGTTAAAATGAGTTTTCTCTGCAGGGTAGCTGGACTCTCCCTTAGAGATAAATTGAGAGTTTCAGTTATCTGAGAGAGACTTGGAGTGGAGCTGCCTACCCAGAGAGCATCCTTACCAGAAACTCCAATTACCTCAACTGGCTCCTCTCAATGTGGAGGAGCCAGTTGAAGTGATTGGAGTTCCTGGTAAGGATGCTCCCTGAGTGCCTCCCTAGGGAGGTTTTATTGGCATGTCCAACTGGGAGAAGTCCAGGAAAACCCAGGACATGCTGGAGAGACGGATGTCTTTCAGCTAGCCTGGAAACACCTTGGAATCCTCCTAGAAGAGGTGGCTGTGAAAAGACATGTCTGGGCCTTCCTACTAAAGCCCGCTGCCCCAGTGACCCGACTTCAGAACAAACAGGAAATAACGGTTGGATGGATGGATATTTGTAGAGGTTTAGTATTTGCAACCTTATCTTGTTTCCACTGTGTCGTTTCTTCAGGTACAATCACATCCAGCAGCCCCACAGCACAGCCAGCAGAGGTTCTCCTTCAGGCCACCCCACCCCATCGTCGGGCGCGCTCAGCAGCCTGGTCCTACATCTTCCTGCCTGAGGAGGCGTGGTGTGATCTTACCATCCACCTTCCAGCTGCTGTGCTGCTGAAAGAAGTCCACATTCAGCCACACCTTGCTTCTCTGGCCAGTAAGTAACAGTTTAGTAATCAAAGTGTTACATTTGATGTATATATACATATGCAGTGTGTATGTATGTATATATGTATTTATATGTATGTGTGTGTGTGTAAGGGTTAGGGTTAGCAGTAACCCTAATGTAATATATAAATTGCTGCTTAAAACACACTTTACTCCATCTTGATATGGAAAACTATGTATAGTTCTTGTAAAAATGGATTTACCTTGTTCATTACTTCTACCACCCAGCTTGCCCGTCCTCAGTGTCAGTGGAGATCAGCGCAGATGGGGTCAACATGTTGCCGCTCTCCACTCCAGTCATCACCAGTGGATTAACATACATAAAGATCCAGTTGGTGAAAGCAGAGGTTGCATCTGCTGTTTGCCTGAGGCTGCACCGGCCTCGAGATGCCAGCTCTTTGGGTCTTTCTCAGATCAAACTCTTGGGTCTGACGGCATTTGGAAACACATCCTCAGCAACAGTCAACAACCCCTTTCTGCCTTCTGAGGACCAAGTGTCCAAAACCAGGTACTGGTATTGTTTTCTGATTGATAACATACTCGTGGGCTCTTTTTCTGACCTGCTTCTTCTCTGCACACAGCATCGGGTGGCTTCGTCTTCTCCACCACTGCCTGACCCACGTCAGTGACCTGGAAGCCATGATGGCCAGTGCTGCAGCACCCACAGCCAATCTGCTCCAGACCTGTGCTGCACTGCTCATGTCACCTTACTGTGGCATGCACTCCCCCAACATCGAGGCAGTGCTGGTCAAGATAGGCCTGCAGTCCACAAAGATTGGACTGAAACTCATAGACATTTTGTTGAGAAACTGTGCCGCCTCTGGCACCGACCCTGCCAGTGAGTCACAGCATTACACATTTAAATGATCTGCACATCCAAATGTCCTGTTACTGAACGGTCACTGTGTGCAACATCACACCCGCTAAAAGATAAACACACACACACATCTGGCAGAGCAACTCTAGAAAATGGGGTCTGCTACAGATTAAAACCTGCTAATCTGAATCCAGAACAGTACCTGTCAGGTAAAGGTTTCTACATATGGATTTTAATAGTTGTCTGATTATTTATTTTTAAACTTATTTGGGAAAAAACTTTTTAACAAAGAATTTATTCTTAATGGGAAAAACAAACATTCTGTCCCGTATTTTGTTCACTGTTGAATTGCAGGGAAAAAAGTTTCTCATACCTCAACTGTACCTAAAACGCTCCAAACCCAGACTTCCAAATCCAAGATAAATGCCAAATATATTATTTTTATGTACAAACAGTGAAGTCAGAGATGACGCCACTGTTTGTATTCTGTGAGAATGTTTTTGAACCGTGTACTTTGTATATATATTTGTGTGTATTTCAAGCAGATTCAGATCCAGAACAGGGAAGCAGTCCCTTTCTATCATCACCAATGATGCAAAACCTTCATGTATATTGTTTACTTGCACCATGACGTTACTTTTGATATGGCCACATGATCTCATTTGAACACAAGCCCCCTAAAAATTTCTTGTTTAGAGTTAATTTCCTGAAGCTTTCGACTGAGTCTGGACTCAAATTTGCATGCGACCCTTTGCTCTTGGTTAACAGATAGCAAATCTAAAGAGAAATCTTAAAAACATACTTATGAATTGAATGCACATAGTGAGAAATCCAAAGGAAATCAGTTTGAAAAAAAAAAAGTTTGAGCCACTGGAACTTAAAACACGTGTGTATTTTGTCTTGAAGATCTGAACAGTCCTCTGCTGTTCGGGAGGCTCAACGGTCTCTCCTCCGACTCCACTATTGATATTCTGTACCAGCTGGGGACCACACAGGATTCAGGGACCAAAGACCGGTATGTTTTAATCTTAACTTTGTCCCCATTTCAGTTTTCTTACAAAAATACCCAGCAAATAAGAAAGAATTGTTTCTCTGATATTCAGTATCATTAGACAATCCTCATCATCTTTTACCATCTTCACATTTTAATTAAACTGTTACACAGCTTAAGCTAAGCAATGGTTCTTGTGATGAATTATTTCATCATGGGGAGGCTGTGGCTGAGTGGTTAGAGCGGTCGTCCTCCAATGGGAGAGTTGGGGGTTTGATTCCACCAGCAGTCACATGCTGAAGTGTCCCTGGGCAAGACACTGAACACCTGATTGCCTCCATCAGTGTATGAATGTGATAAATCACTGATTATTCTCTGTATAGATCTAGTAGAGTGCTGTGTGAATGGATAAATGAGGCACAGATTGTGTTGTAAATAGCTTAGTGTCTTGATAAGATAGAAAGGTGTATAAGTACAGCCCATTTACCATTTATTTATCACAGTTCTGACCTTTAACCTTCTAGGATCCAGGCTCTTCTGCAGTGGGTCCATGACTCCTCTCGAGTGGCTGCCCATAAGATGAGCGCTTTTATGGGTTTCTCTGGTTCTGGCTCCTCTGCTTCTTTGAGGGAATATGGCCTCCTCATGCCGTCTCCTTCCCATCTCCACTGTGTGGCAGCCATCCTGTGGCACAGCTACGAGCTGCCAGTTGATTACGACCTCCCTGCTCTTCTCAACAGAGAGCTCTTTGAGTCAGTCATTGCATCATCCCAGCAGGATCTCACAGCTCTTGTTCTGACGTTACCACTGATACTGTTCCGTCTTTTTTTCATCCAGGCAACTTTATAGTTGGTCCATGTCACTGCCATCCAACATAGTACTGAAGAAGGCTGTGGACAGCCTGCTGTGCTCCACCTGTCATATCCACCCCAGCTACTTCGCCTTGCTCATGTCCTGGATGGGCATTGTCTCAGTTCCCAGCGCCACGCACTCTCAAGCCCAGCAACGCCGCCTTGCCATGACCGACGATGGAAAAAAACAGCACGATGCCAATGCAAATGCCACAGGACTTACAGATGACTCCAAGCATGCAAGACCTCCCGTTAGTCTGTCAGAGTCCCAGCTGACCACATTGTCAGCTGCTTCCCAGTCTCCTGGAGCGATAGAGCAGCTGCTGGACTCTGGTCTGCCTTCACTGCTGGTCCGCAGCCTTGTTCAGTTCTGTGTCAGCCTCCTGGTCAGTGCTGACCTCCCTCTGCCTGCTGCTCAAGCAGACAGGCGGCACCACCATCACCACTACCACTCACCCTCCTCTTCCTCACAGAGTCGGCCGCCTCTGGCTGCAGACCTGGCCGCCCCAGTGCTGCGGTTCCTCACAGAAGTTGGCAACAGTCACACCATGAAAGACTGGCTGGGAGGACCTGAAGTGTACCCACTGTGGACCGCACTGCTCTTCCTGCTCTGCCACTCCAGTGCCAGCACCAGCACTAGTGCAAATACTGGAGGTCAGCCATTGAGCTCTGGATCAGCTGCAGGACCTCCTCCCCCTCAGGCCCAGCATTCAGGCTCCCGCTTCTCCCTGCTGTCTTCTGGGGAGTCAGGAGGCCTCACCACACAGCAGAGGACCGCTCTGGAGAACGCCACTGTGGCCTTTTTCCTCCAGTGCATCTCCTGCCACCCCAACAATCAGCGGCTCATGGCTCAGGTCTACTTTTTAAAAATCTCAGTTATTTTATAAACACAAGATTCACATGGATCTGTTAAGTAACGAGTCACACGTTAAACATTTATGTTGGATTAATTCTGGGACAGTTAAAACTTCACTGCAGTGTTTTCCTGCTGAAGTGTTTGTCACGTCTGCTCCTTCATCTTTCAGCTTCTGTTTCCAGCTAGTGAACTTTGCTAAAAAAAAACCTAATTAAATAATACCACTCCTTTGTTTTTACACACTTTATGACAGTTCATATACTTCAAGTCAATATTTTAAGTTAGCATTTATTTATTTTTTCAAATCTATATATTTTTATTAATAGTGTTAGATTGTTTCCTCTCTGATGCAGAAAAATCATTAACAGCTCATTATGCTTTTAATTTCCCCGTGAGGTTTTTCTGTCTGATTTTGTTCTTCTGGCTGCAGGTTCTTTGTGAGCTCTTCCAGTCTGCTCCTCAGCGAGGGAATGTACCGATCTCCAGAAACATCTCGGGCTTTATTCGAAGACTTTTTCTACAGCTCATGCTGGAGGATGAGAAGGTCACAGTCTTCCTCCAGTCTCCCTGTCCGGTTGGTAAACTCCTTCTGTTCTCAAATGTTCCCATAAATGATTTAGTTAGATGGAAATTCAAAAGAGCAGTTTGCCAAACCAATTTCCTGCAGCAGCTTCTCATTTTTCTTTGCCTTCAGATTAATATACATTGTATTTTTAAAATTTTCTGTTGCTAACTTTATTTGATAGCCAGTGTTTTAACTAAGAAAAGTTTTTTGTTGTTCAGAATCAGCAGGTCCAGCAGGTGTGACCACAAGGGGGCATCACAGTAATATGAAGCGGTAGCCTCGTTGTCCACAGACTGTCCCTATCAGACTGATTCATGTCGTCATTCTACTCCCCTTTGTTTTACACACATGGGTTAATTCTCAAAAATGTAAACATTGATGCACAAAGATTATTAAATCTAATCCATCTGCTTTGATATTTCAATATTTTCATTTTATATGGGTTATATTTCTGGGCTTCTAAGACTGAACTTAGACCTGTTTACTCAGCAAGAAAACAATGTACAGTAGTCCCTCGCTACTTCATGGTTTGACTTTCACAGACTTGCTCTGTCACGGTTTTTCAAAATTTGATTGGACATGACACACAGTTGGCTGATTGATGGATGAGCCGCACGATTGGCATGGATTTTTTATTTAAAATAAATTACTTTAAATTATTATTTAGCACCTGCTGCAGCTTTGTTCAGACCACAGCTGTGGAGGAGCTTCCCAGCAGAGAAGTGGGCACGTGACCGAGAGGCTGGCAGGATCTTTTAGAGCGTTCAGAGTTTAGAACATTGTTTAAAATATTGCAAGAGTGTGGCAAGGGTTTAAAATGCCTTTATATATATACACACACACACACACACACATATATATGTATATATATATATATATGTATGTATGTATGTATGTGTGTATACATTTTTTTAATAAACTAAAACTACTACTTACTACTTTTACTACTATTAGTACTTTGCAATATTTTTGCTTATTGTGGGGGGTGGGCAGGGTACGCAAACCCCAGCGATGAACGAGGGACTACTGTATGTGCCTAAAATTCAGACAAATCCATCTTATTTCCTGTTACATTTGCTGAGGCCGTCATAAGTTGGATATAAGGTGCAGTAACCTCCATTGATTCATAATGATTTGGGAAAGAATCTGAATCTGAAACAAGGGAAAGTTCCGTTAGTTACTGAAATTATTTTTACTTAAGCCAAAACCTGTCTTGTTTTTTCAGTTGTATAAAGGACGTATCAATGCCACAAGCCATATGATCCAGCATCCCATGTACGGAGCAGGTCACAAATACCGCACTCTCCATCTGCCAATCTCCACCACACTGGCTGAAGTCCTGGACCGAGTATCTGGTATGTGCTCATGCAGAAAATGTTACTGTTATGAGCTCTTGGCTTTTTACCGAGCAGGTAGGGGTAAGCGATATGGCTCAAATAGAATATTGTTATATTTCAAAGCATTCTGATGATAACGATAACATTTGTGATATAACAAAAAAAACAACAGAAATCATAGTTATTCATTTGATAAAATTAACTTAACATGTTGCTTTGCAGTATTATATAAAAACTAAAAATCAAAAAAGTTAATATTACTGCAATTATCTAAAAAAGTTAAATCTGGTCCTCTGGACATTCAAAAAAAACAAAACAAAGCAAATCAACAAAAAAAATGTAGAAACGTTTCGTCTCTCATCCGAGAGACTTCCTCAGTCTTGTTTTTTTTTGAATGTCCAGAGGACCAGATTTAACTTTTTTAGATTTTTCTACCTGGATTATTGAGCATGCATCAGGATATTACTGCAATTACTTTATTTAGGAAAGTATTCAGTCTCAAAGTATAAATGTATAAAAATAAAAAAGATTCTTCTGTTATTTAGATTGAGGGTGCATTCACACCAGCCCTGTTTAGTCCACTTTAATCGAACTCTAGCTCGTTTTCCTAGAAAGTCCGGTTCGTTTAGGGAGGTGTGAACGCGCCATCAAACTCTGTCACGGAACAAAAAGGCGAACACTGGCCCGGGCTAAAACCTAGGTCTCGGTCCGGTAGAAGCGAACTCCAGCACGGTTCGAGTACAGTGTGAATGTAAACAGACCGAGCCCCGCTCTGCAGGACAAACAAACACGCATTTCTCTGACCTTATATGGAGCCGTCAGCTGCTTTGTGTGAAAAACAATATTCTCCATGGTCTTCTGTCTCATCTTCTGCTCATGCTAAGTTCATTTTTAAAAAATGACAAAATATAACTCCTAAAACTGCTAAAACTTGATGCCACTTCGTTTTTATTTTTATTTACAGAAGAAGACGTGTCTTCAGAGGTTTTTGTGTCGTTTCTTTCAGTAGTTCTTGATGCAACGCCCCCACATGCAAGCGGGGGAATAGGTTGGTTGAACAGGTTGACTCGACTGCACAGTGCAGTGTGAATGCAAACGCACCAGCTCAAATGTAAACAAAAGGTCATGAATATTGGTCTCGAACCGAACCGAGTCTACCGGACTATCTGGTGTGAAAACGACCTGAAAAAGTCTGCACAAAATATAGATCAACAAAATCCACCACAAAAACTAAAGTGCAGGTGCAGTTCTCAAAAAAAAAGAAATGAAAACTTAAGATCTGTTGAGCACAACTGTAACCTACAACAAAAAACATGGTTCCTTTAAATGAGCTATAACTTCCAAAACTTGTGACAAGGTGTTTCATCTGACCCTGAAGCTTGTTGGTGTTTCAGCTTCCTCTGTTCCTGCAGGAATTTCATTTCTCTGATTGTCACGCTGGGTGTTCAGCGTGTGGGAAGAGGCAGCATGAACGATGCCTTTAGCTTTTTAGCTAGCTAGTATTGCGCGCGGCTAGCTTAGTGTTATGCCAATATCGACAGGTGTGTGTGTGTGTGTGTGTGTGTGTGGGGGGGGGGGGGGGGTGCGTAGTTTGGTTTGGTAGAGGGCGCTCTGTTCTGTTAACAGGGCAGGGCACCCCGCTTGTATTATGGTAGGGGAAACACTGACGTATTTACACCATGAAAATAGCAAATAATGATATAATTTATTTTCATGAGCAAGTTTTTTTCCCAGTATTATCGTGAATGACCCAGCCCATATCAAGGTGTTGTGAGGACTGGACCTACGAACACAAACAGCTGATTTTCTTTTTTCATCTTGTTCTGCTTAGCAGACCAGCAGTTAGCTAAGAGAAACATTTTTAAACTAACATTTGTTTAGCTTACTGATTTATGTTTTGGTTTCTTATCTGCCACTGCTCTTTTTGGATTTTGATATAAATCAATCAGTTGCCAATCAAATACATTACAAGAACCATGTCTGGACCAAATTCTGCCTGAACTAAATGGTGTTCTTTGGATTAGACGTGGTCTGTTTCCTCTTTTTAAACATCATAATTAAAAAAAAAAATCACAAAATTTTAGGTTCACCTCATCCTGATGTTTTAAAATTAAATTTAATGAGATGTCTGAGATGGTGTGAGTTTCCCTCTGGTCATTTGGAGCTCAAAGAAGCCCTCCTCCCTCCTACATGTTGCTGTGAGCTGTCAGTCAGCAGAGTGTCACAGCGTAACAAGGGGAGTTACCAAAAAACACTTCTTATTATAAAAAGACCAAGTTGGCTGTTTGCTATTTTCAGTAGCACCCACAGCTTTGGGTCATTGAGCAGAAGACACTTTACTATTTTAAAATAATGCTGTCTCTAAAAAAAATATTTACAAGCTGTGCTGGCAACAAAACTGCCTATTTTTTTCAGTGTGACATTAGTTTGGAAGACACAATTTTCAATGAAAGTCAAATCTGTACAAGTTCATCCTGCATATTTTGACTTGCCTACATTTAACAGGCTGATGTGAAATTACTTTTGTTGAACAGCTTTTTAAAATCTCTGTAGAACTGCAAAGCTGTCAGCCATCTTTGGGTCCTGTTCAGACATGGTTTATTTCATGGGACGTCCTCCGGTCATCAAGGTCGCCCTCACTGATGCTGCAGCTCCCAACATTACCTGTTAGCTTTTAGCGAGCTGTGTACATGATTAATGGCTAACCCCTGGAGACCTTGAACAGCTGATAGAAAACCTGATACATCACTACTATTATGGGATTGTGTGCGAGTCTCTGTGACTCACCTTTTTTTCCTCTATCCATACAGACACACCCAGCATCACAGCCAAGCTGATCAATGAGCAGAAGGAAGACAAGGAGAAGAAGAATCATGAAGAGAAGGAGAAGATGAAGGCAGACAGCGGTTTTCAGGATAACTACAGTGTTGTTGTGGCCACAGGTACTAAGATGAACCCCTAACATTACATTCAGGTCCCAACCATAAAAACCAGTTTGGAGCTACAGATTGAAAGGAGGTTCTGACTGCTTGTTGTTCCCATAAGAACAACAAAAACACAAGCACATCTATTCTCCTAATCGTTCTATCACATGTTAGTTACTTGGTGAGTTCTGTGTCAGAAACATTTAATTTTAGGTGTTTATTAAAGTTGTAGATTGAATATGATTTGTCTTGCAGTTTAGACCTGTATATTCATGCATGTCTTGCCATTAAGGATGGGCAAAGATCCTTGAATTTTAAAAAGTCATTAATATATACAAATTCAAAGGTTTACACAATTACATTTTAAAAAGTGACTCATTTATTTTGCTCTCAGCAGCTGGTGTTAGGAGTACTTTTGCCTGTTGCCATAGTATTTTTATTGTTAGATGCGGTTTTTTTTTTTTTTTAAATATCTTACCAAAAGCCCTCAAGTGATCCCAGTTTTGTTTCTTTCATCATTGTTAAATTTTTAAAGGATTACAAAGTTCAAACTATGGTTGCAACAGAACAAAACCACTGACAAAGCTGGTATTTTGGCTGCTCCTCCTGCGGGTGTTATGTGACATGAGAGAGGGGTGTGGGGTGAAGGGGGACTCGTTGCAGAGAGTCTAGGTAAAGAGATCTTTTGCAGGCATCCAGAAATTCTAATATTATCACTCAGCACAATGTTTAGAGCAGAACAACATCCAGACATCAGGTTGAATTTTTAACAAATTTTCAGTCTGTTTTATTGGTATTTAATTGACTGGAACCACAGTAAAGTGAGACAACTCGAACAATCAGCTCGTATTAAAACAACAGAAGGAGAGCAACGTTGTAGTCATGATGCTGCAGGTAAACTGCAGCATCATGACTTCATGCTGCATGTCTGCTTGTAACTCACTACATCTACTGCCTAACATGCAAACTTTAAACATCACGCTGCCTTTTGGTTCTTTTGTTTTCATCGGACCTTTCATTCTGGGAGGAACTCCCACTAGGCCTGTTGCAATAAACAATAAATCAACTAATTGCATGATAAATAAAAATTATCAACCTCATTTTCATTTATTGTCTTTATCATTTCATCATGTCTCTTTCTGCTACTAAGCTGAGAAGCTAAGCTACGAGCTAAGCTAACAGGCCGACCTCAGGGGGAAAAAAAACTCGTCTTTTTGAAGCTCCAAAATTCACAGTTGAAACCCGTGCCTTTGTGTAAATAGTTTTTCTCTGCAAAAAGAAGTTGAGAACTTGTTTACTGATTATTTTTTTTAATTAAAAGCTTTGTGTGAAAAATGCTATGCTAAAGCGCTCACACCACACCGAGCGTCCGCCATTTTGAGAACCGAAGAGATAGAGCCCATGTAACATCAAGTGGCCTCCCTCCCATTTTTCTTAGACACGCTGCTCACTCCCTCACTATCCATCCTTCAGTTCTGATAGTCTTGTACTGCTGTCCGGTGGTTGAAAAAAGGTCAAAACAACTCAAAACACTCAAAACAAATTAACAAACATTTTCTCTTAAATCTGACAATAATTACTAATTATTGTCAGATTTCAAACAATATTATCGTTTATTGCAATAATTTCTGAGACAATTAATCGCCCAGCAAAATTTGTTATCGTGACAGGCTTAACTCCCAGCAGATTAATAATAGTAATGTTTCCTCTTATTTCTGAAAAGGGTTTCTGTAAAAGCTAATGTTAGCTTGTGCTATGGTCAATACGACAAACTGATCCATCCATCTCTGCAATCAGGTCTGAAGTCTCAGTCCAAACGGGCTCTTTCAACACCTCCCCGACCTCCTTCGAGAAGGGGTCGTGTCATGAGTGACAAACTGACTGCTTCGTCTAGTGTGGACCCTTCAGCAAAAACCATCAGTGTGCCTGTCTTCCACCTCTACCACAAGCTTCTTCCAGGTACCACACACAAATACTCAGAGGTGTTCATCCTGAAGCAGCCACAGCTCATTACTGACTTTACTGTTTGTTTTCTCCAATGCGTCCCTCTAGGTCAGCCCCTCCCACCGGAGATGACCCTGGCTCAGCTGCTGACGCTCCTGTATGACCGTAAACTGCCACAGGGCTACCAGTCGATCAACCTGACAGTCAAACTGGGCTCCAAGATTATCTCAGACCCTGGTCTTTCAAAGACCGATTCGTTCAAGAGGCTGCGCACTGAGAAAGGTACTAAAGCTTCAGCTCCACAGAATGTGATGTGGGGGGGTGGGGCTTCCTACTTTATTAATGGACACATTAGTGTGCCATTTGCCCATTTTATGACCATTTCTTATTGAGTATAAAATTCCTGCAATATAAAAAATTTGAAAACAAATTCAGGAATTTTTTTTTTACACCAAGTAAACAAATTTATCAGAAAATATATTTTTTACTGAGAGTACCCTCACAGTGATTAATTGGAAGGGAACTAAGAAAAGTTTTCTTTCAGTAAAATGATTACAGGTCGATTCAACAGTTGGTTCAATTCTTTTGCTCTTCTATTAATCCATGATTTCTTATTTTTGATAATGGCTGTGAGATAAATACAACAATTTTTATCAAGTTCTCAACTAGACGTAAGCACTAAGGAGTCATTTAGACTGTGTCAGATATTTTTTAACAGATTTCTTTTTCTCCATCCAAAAGTTCTAACAAAAACACCAGAGTACCATGTGACCCCACTAGATGGTGAGAAAGTTCATATTATTATCAAAAATTGTTTCAGATATAAAAATTAAAGTTGTTTTGAGAAAAGCAATGAAAATGAGCACTTTTAAGTCTTTGTTTTGTTACATAAAACAATCCCAGCATTGTTTTATGGCTGCCAAGTTATAATTCTTTAAGGGCTATTACATTTCATTCTCTAGGAAACGAGCACGATAAACCTCTGTGACGTTCAGTTTGTGCTTTAACAGAAAACACTATTATATTCATCCCTAAAAGGTTTTATTGGATATTCTTTTGTCAATCTTAAAGGAGTTCAGGAGGACTTCAGTTTTGAATTTTATAGTGATCTTACTCTGAACTTTGTGTTTAAAAAAGTATTTTTGCCACATTAGTCAAACGGGTGTATTTCAGTGTAATGTACAGGTCCTTCTAAAAAAATAGCATATTGTGATAAAGGTCATTATTTTCCATAATGTAATGATAAAAATGAAACTTTCATATATTTCAGATTCATTGCACACCAACTGAAATATTTCAGGTCTTTAATTGTTTTAATACTGATGATTATGGCATACAGCTCATGAAAACCCAAAATGCCTGTCCCAAAAAATTAGCATATCATGAAAAGGTTCTCTAAACAAGCTATTAACCTAACCATCTGAATCAACGACGTAACTCTAAACACCTGCAAAAGGTTCCTGAGGCTTTTAAAAACTCCCAGCCTTGTTCATTACTCAAAACCGCAATCATGGGTAAGACTGCCGACCTGACTGCTGTCCAGAAGGCCATCATTGACACCCTCAAGCAAGAGGGTAAGACACAGAAAGAAATTGCTGAACGAATAGGCTGTTCCCAGAGTGCTGTATCAAGGCACCTCAGTGGGAAGTCTGTGGGAAGGTAAAAGTGTGGCAGAAAACGCTGCACAACAAGAAGAGGTGACCGGACCCTGAGGAGGATTGTGGAGAAGGGCCGATTCCAGAACTTGGGAGACCTGCGAAAGCAGTGGACTGAGTCTGGAGTAGAAACATCCAGAGCCACCGTGCACAGGCGTGTGCAGGAAATGGGCTACAGGTGCCGCATTCCCCAGGTCAAGCCACTTTTGAACCAGAAACAGCGGCAGAAGCGCCTGATCTGGCCTACAGAGAAGCAGCACTGGACTGTTGCTCAGTGGTCCAAAGTACTTTTTTCGGATGAAAGCAAATTTTGCATGTCATTCGGAAATCAAGGTGCCAGAGTCTGGAGGAAGACTGGGGAGAAGGAAATGCCAAAATGCCAGAAGTCCAGTGTGAAGCACCCACAGTCAGTGATGGTCTGGGGTGCCATGTCAGCTGCTGGTGTTGGTCCACTGTGTTTTATCAAGGGCAGGGTCAATGCAGCTAGCTATCAGGAGATTTTGGAGCACTTCATGCTTCCATCTGCTGAAAAGCTTTATGTAGATGAAGATTTCGTTTTTCAGCACGACCTGGCACCTGCTCACAGTGCCAAAACCACTGGTAAATGGTTTACTGACCATGGTATTACTGTGCTCAATTGGCCTGCCAACTCTCCTGACCTGAACCCCATAGAGAACCTGTGGGATATTGTGAAGAGAAAGTTCAGAGACGTAAGACCCAACACTTTGGATGAGCTTAAGGCCGCTATCGAAGGATCCTGGGCCTCCATAACACCTCAGCAGTGCCACAGGCTGATTGCCTCCATGCCACGCCGCACTGAAGCAGTCATTCATGCAAAAGGATTCCCGACCAAGTATTGAGTGCATAACTGAACATGATTATTTGAAGGTTGGCGTTTTTTGTATTAAAAACACTTGTCTTTCATTGGTGGGATGAAATAAGCTAATTTTTTGGGACAGGCATTTTGGGTTTTCATGAGCTGTATGCCATAATCATCAGTATTAAAACAATTAAAGACCTGAAATATTTCAGTTGGTGTGCAATGAATCTGAAATATATGAAAGTTTCATTTTTATCATTACATTATGGAAAATAATGACCTTTATCACAATATGCTAATTTTTTGAGAAGGACCTGTATCTCAATCCTTCACATTTCTGTAAGTGTTCTCCTCAAAATTTGTGGTTTAAAATCATTCAGCATTTTTAATTGTGGTTGTGCATGAACAAGCTTTATTCTCCTCTTCGTTTGTCAGAGTTTAATTAAGTTGTGATCAATTCATGTCACTTGTTTTTGGACTCCACTAAAAGAAAGACGTTCCTGCCTAAAAGACCTACAGATGCAGTAGGTTTGTGGTTTTCAGTCTGTCACCTCTTACTTTAATTCTCTCTGGACTGTAAAAGCTTTTTGATCTGCTTTTGTCTGACATTCATGAATTTCTGGGAAACATTACTGTGGAGCGGAGACACTGCCAATGCTGCTCCTTATTTTGGCTCAAAGTATGTTTGTGGTTTGATTTGTATCCTCTTACTGTGACCGTCTGACCCAGTGAGTCAGATAATGAAATGAATACTGAAGGACATTTGGTCAGGATGGATCCTAACAGGGACAAATCTGCTGACATTCCAAAGCTGCAGTAGACCTCCACTGGTTCTGAGAAGTGTTGACCCTAAAGCTTGTTACATTTAGTCGTTTGATTCTGCAGACTCATGGGTCGGTCTGAGGTCAGATCAGGCTTTGATATTAGTCTAGTTTGATGACATCAGCACTGTTGAATTTGCTGAAGTGCTTTGATACTTTCTTTTCACTTTTTATTTTATTTTAAATTACTCTCTTCGCATAGAAAACAACAGTGTAATATCCATCCATCCATTCATCCATTTTCTTCCGATTATCTGGGGTCGGGTTGTGGGGATAGCAGCCTAAGTAGGGAGGCCCAGACTTCCCTCTCCCCAGCCACTTGGGCCAGCTCCTCCAGGGAAATCCCAAGGCGTTCACAGGCCTGCTGAGAAACGTAGTACCTCCAGCGTGTCCTGGGTCTTCCTCTGGGTCTCCTCCCAGTGAGACATGCCCGGAACACCTCGCCAGGAAGGCGTCCAGGTGCATCCTAACCAGATGTCTCAGCCACCTCAACTGGCTCCTCTCGGTGGGTAGAAGCAGTGGCTCTACTCTGAGTCCCTCCTGGATGACTGAGCTTCTCACCCTCTCTCTAAGGGAGAGCCCAGACACCCTGCGGAGAAAACTCATTTCGGCCGCCTGTATCCGTGATCATGTTCTTTCGGTCACAACCCAAAGCTCATGACTATAGATGAGGGTAGGAACGTAGATCTACCGGTAAATTGAGAGCTTTGCCTTTTGACTCGGCTCTCTCTTCACCTCGATAGACCTGTACAGCGCCCGCTTCACTGCCGATGCTACACCTATCCGCCTATCGATCTCACTCTCCATTTTTCCCTCATTCGTGAACAAGATCCCAAGATACTTAAACTCCTCCACTTGGGGCAGGACCTCCTCCCTGACCCGGAGAGGGCACTCTACCCTTTTCCATCTCGAGACCATGGCCTCGGATTTGTAGGAACTGATCCTCATCCCGGCCGCGTCACACTCTGCTGCGAACCGCTCCAGCAGAAGCTGTAGATCACGACCTGATGAAGCCAATAGGACTACATCATCTGCAAAAATACAAAGAAGCAATCCTAAGGCCTCCAAAACGGATTCCCTCAACACCTTGGCTGCGCCTAGAATTTCTGTCTATAAAAGTTATGAGCAGAATTGGTGACAAAGGGCAGCCTTGGCAGAGTCCAACTCTCACTGGGAACAAGCCCGACTTACTGTCGGCAATGCGGACCAAGCTCTGACACCGGTCATACAAGTACCTAACAGCCCATATCAAGGTGCCTGGTACCCCATAATCCCAGAGTACCCCCCACAGGGCTCCCCAAGGGAGGCGGTCGAACGCCTTCTCCAAGTCCACAAAGCACATGTAGACCTATTAGGCAAACTCCCACTCACCCTCCAGGACCCTGCTGAGAGTGTAGAGCTGGTCCAGTGTTCCATGACCAGGACGAAAACCACACTGCTCCTCCTGAATCCAAGGTTTGACTATCCAATGGACACTCCTCTCCAGAACCCCTGAATAGACGTTACCAGGGAGGCTTAAGAGCATGATCCCCCTGTAGTTGGAAAACACTCTACAGTCCCCCTTTTTGAATAGGGGGACCACCACCCCAGTCTGCCAATCCAGGGGAACTTCCCCCGATGTCCACGCAGTATTTCAGTTGTGTAAGCCAACACAACCCCACAACATCCAGAGCCTTAAGGAACTCTAGGCACATCTCATCCACCCCTGGTCCCTGCCACCAAGGAGCTTTTTAACCACCTCGATGACCTCAGCACATGATATTGTAGAGCCCAACCCAAAGTTCCCAGGCTCTGCTTCCTCAGTGGAAGATGTGCCGGTGGGATTGAGGAGGTCTTCAAAGTATTCTGCCCACCGACCCACAACATCCCGAGTTGAGGTCAGCAGCACACCACCCCCACTATAAACAGTTTTGGTGGCGTATTCTTC